CGTCGATCTGCCAGTATATATGATCAGTGTAAAAGACAACCTTTTACCATGGTTGTGTATCTTAGGATAGAAATAACGAAAATATCTGAAATTTTTACAATAGACTATTCTATTTTTATGAAAGTTTCTAAGTTGAAAGGGGAAAATGTCTTTTCTAAGTGTTCCTGAAAAAATACACGACTTGTCTTAAATTTCAGAGTCATATACAAATGTTTTGTTTTTTGTTAGGATATTGGAGCATCACTTGAAAATTGTAAACTAGCTCGACATGTATCAAATAATGAAATATGTGAATTTTGGTCGAATAAAATTCGTCTCGAACAATACATCTTATACAATTTACAAGAACCAAATCCAAATCGTTTTCCATTAATTGAACAAGGTACATCTTCTTATTTCCATTATATGACTACTAATCCAGTTAATTTTTCATCATCAACTATTATTAACATCTTCGATGAAAAATTCCATAGCAATATCGATAAAGTTAGCAAAGATTTGGCATTTGTACATCGAAATTGAATTTTATACATATACATATATCTGTTCTTTTTTTTTCTTTTTGTCTTATGATCCTAAAAAAGTACAACATTGTTTCAATCAAATCGTTTCTTCTTTCTCTTTTTTTTTCTTCTCCAGATAGTATGTTGCTGATATACATTTTTTATTATCATTATCTTTTTTTTTGTCCTTATTGTCATACTCTCTTTACACATTAGTAAACCATATGAAGGTTATCGTTACTGTTATTTTTTGTTTGTTTGTTTGTTTGTTCATATATATATATAGTTCATACATGTATTGATTTGAGATTTAGTCTAGAGAACACATTAAAAAAACAGATGAAGCAAAAATAAACAAGAACATATGAATATTCCTATCAATTTTACCTAAGACAAAAAGAAAAGAAAAAGATCAAAATCAACATCACAACCAATGTATTCAGTCAATTATGTTCAGATTAATTTTCTCTTTCATTTATTTGATTTTTTCTTTTAATAGAAAAATTATTTGAAGAAACATATATTGTTTTCTCTTTTTTATTTTGTTTTAGTGCCAGTGAAAAATACAACAGAAGAACATACAAATACATTTCTATCATTATCACTTCAACAAACTCCATCGACTGATGATGATGATTCAACAAAAGAAGAAACACCTATTATTGATGAAATAAAACCATTGAAAGAAAATATTGATCAAACAATATCAACTATTACTGGCAATGATGAACTTGATGAAATTCAATTAGATAAACAAACAATACCTGATATATCTGAAGAAAAAAAAGAAGAACAAAACGAACTTACTTGTAGTACTCCATCATCTGCTCTTAATCCAGATGCAACTCCTTTTGTTGGTTTATCAACAATTAAAACTGACAGTAATCAATCATTGTCAAGTGGAGATGAAAGTGATGATGAAATTGAACCAATTTCTACTGGTAAATAACAAAAATATATAATTCTATTGAAAATCATTGTTATATATTTGTTTTTCTAAGATTCATCTGAACGTCCACGTATGCCTATCAAAGAAGAAGTTATTGTTGATACTAGTTTGATGCCATCAACACCTCTACTTAAATCTTGGTTACCAATAGAAGTAACTCATATTGAAACACCAACTCGTTTCTATATTCGTTATATCTATGGTCCTAGTTGGAATTTAGGCAATGGACAAACACGTAAGTGATCGATTCGATTTTGATGATAACTCGTGATATTCATTAATGATATGGAATTTTGTTTTACAGCTGAATTAATTAATAAGAAGGAAGTACCAGAAAAAAATGTTGTATTAAAAGAATTGACACAAGAAATGACGTAAATCATTTTTCTTTTTATTTTGTCTGTGTTAATGAGCAAATTCATTGATGTATTTAGACAATGTTATAGTAAACATAAACGTATTTGTCCAGGTGATAATTATGATGAAGGTGAATTAGTTGCTGTGAGATTCCGTTCACAATGGCATCGTGGACGTTTTATAGAATATAAACCAAATATTGATTTTGCACATGTATGTTAATATTTACTTCGTTTTTTTTTCAAATGAATATTAATTGAATCTTATAGATATTTTTTGTTGATTATGGTTATACACGTTCAGTACCTATTCAAATGATTCGACCAATTAATAATCGTTTTGTGGTAAAAATAAGAATAAACAATTTTTGTTTGATTTTCTATATTTATTTTTTTTGTTTTTAGTTACATGCTGAACAATCTCATTTAGTTCATTTATATCAACCTGATCAACGTCGAGGGCGTATAGAATGGAGTATAAATGTGATTGATGAGTTTCGAGAAATGACTAAAGATGGTACAAATTTATATGCAAGAATTATTAATGAACCAAATACAATTGAATTAATGTCTTATGATCCATTAACGAAAAAATGGTTTTCATTCTATGAACATTTTGTTAAACATATAAATCATTGTGATAATATTGAACAAAAAACTGAATAGAAATTATTTCATCTATTTGTTACTTTCTTGTTTCTTGTATGATATTAGTATTTCGATCGTTCGTTTACTGTTCCTGTGATGCTACATTTTTTTTTCTGTATATAGAACAACTTTGGTAGATTTATTGAGGATTTGGTGAAGTACAAACTTTTTTTTTTTATCTCTATTGATCTTTGCTTCCTAGAAAAATTGTTTTTCCAAGTCGTCAAGAGATGTCTGAAAATCGACATTTGTTTATCATAAATATATAACTGTTAGAATATGTAATTGGAATTTAATAAGATTAAAAATATGGATAGAAGAAAATTTAAAATATGACGAATTACAGAGGAAAATTACAATATTAAGATGGTATAATAAACATTGATGAAAGAATACAAATGATTTATTCATATTTTAATTTTCATGATTCTTTTTCGAAATACATCTACTATAATACTTTATTGTTCATAGAATGAAAAAAAATCGATTTTCTTTCAATATCTAAGAAAACTTAAAGTAAAGCAATGAACTTTGTTTCATTATTGTATAACTTGCATATAATATAGCAATAAGATTAGCTATTAGAAGTACTATTTTTAGATTTGTTTAAATCGTCAATATGAAAAGCACTTCAATTTCATGTGTCATTATATCTACAGAATGATTTTAAATAATCAAAGTATATTTAATACTTTTAAAATACATGCATCAACCATACTATTTTCTATGAGTTAGAAGAAACAATTGAAATTTTTGCGATACTTTTGTATTCTTTTAAACAAATCTCAACATTCTCTTGATCTAGTTTATCATTATAAAAATAAAAAAATGAAACGATTACATCTCTTTACAATGATTTCATTTAAAAAAAAAACAAACAAGTTTTTCGTAAGCTGAAGAATTTCATTCACTCAACCGTGGAATCTGAGAGAAAGAAATGAAGATTAGATGCTGAATATTGTTGAGAATGATCGTAATCTATATCATCCAATCATTATCGTCCTTGACGAAGTTGACCACCTTGTTGGCCGCCACCACGTCCTCCACCACCACGTGAGCCTTGATGTCCACCACGCCCTCCACCACCACTACCTTTATAGTTATTACGATGTTCACCACCACCTCCAGATCGACCACCATATCCTAATAAAGTAGACAAAAACAAAACCAATCAATATAGAATTGTTCTTCAAATTTTCTATCTTTCATATCTATTTTACCTCCACGTCCACCATCGCCACGACCGCGAAATGGTCGACGTGTTGTTGGTCCTGAACGTGTGGGTTTTTCATTGACATCTTCTTTGACAAGTCCAAGGACATCTTCTGGTAATCGAAGATATTTTATAGTATTACCACGTATATAACATTCAGGAATTTTCCAAAACCGATCACCATCCTATAAAATTTAATTAATTATATAAATAACTCATTTTCAACATAACAAAAGATTTTTACTCGAGAAGTACATATAACATCACGCAAGTGAATATTCATAAAATTATCACAAGTAACTAAATTTCCATTGTATGTTTCACCATTTTTTAATTCCACCAACTATAAATATGATTATATATTATATATTATATTGTTTTATCGAATAAGGTTAGGTCAGGTGAAAAAAAGATTTTTGGATTTCGAAGTGAAGCTGCAGTCTGAGCAATTTGCAGATATAAATGTCATGTCGAGTATTTCTTTTTCATTTAAAGGTTCTATAAGAAAGTGTAGAAAACTTAATGGAGCGAGAAGTTATTTATTGCACAATGTTTTCTTTTGCTTCACTGTCTTTTCTCGATTGATTTCGAGCAACGATGCATAGTAAGTGTACTATCTGTTCAATGAAGATATAAAGGCCGTACGTTATATACATAAGAGAAAAAAGACAAATAAGAAAATATTCTATCAGATAACCGTATGATTTCAAGTGTGGAATATGGGCGAAATATTCAGGACATATCCTTTTTTTTTTAACTACAAAATGAAAGAAGAAAAAGAAATGGATTGAAAAATTGATATTGCAAGAAAAAGAGAAACGTAGTCGGTACTAGAGTTCGACTCGAGTTGGGCCACAAAATTTGATCCATGTTACAAACTGATACTCACCATAGGATGATAAGCTGCCGTTCGAAGAAGTGTTAAAGGAAGCTAGAAGAGAAAAAAAGACAACATGAAATTTATTGTATCATAATATTTGTTTCTTTGATGACTCACCATCTAAAATAAAAGAAAAAAACACAATAGTTATTATTTCATTAATATTATATAGAAACAGTTAGTTTTTTTTACTTAGTATTAGTAAAACAAAAACAAATAAATATCTACAATTATTCTCGAGTTTCTTGAGGCCTTACATCTAATGAATATTTCTCAAATAAACACTAAGTTGCATAATAAAAATCTAATAATTGCACAATCAAACTGTAATAGATGCGTAATTTTAAAAAAAACGCCACTTTCCTCAATTCTTTTTTCTTTATCTTCTATAACAATGAGTATTTGATTGTTTTTCTTAATTCTAAACTAGTTATACACTTTTCGATATATAATGGGAAATACAAATACTGATATTCAACTTTATCGAAAGAAAATTGATATACATGGTAATTATGTTGATTTTCCGGGTTATACGATTGTCGCACATGCTATACATCCATTACCAAAACCATTAATTGATCTTGTTAATTATCTTTCTTCAAGTGAACTTAAAAATTATTATTCATTTCTACCAATGACAAGTTATCATGTTACTATAAATCCACTTGAAAATGTTCGTCATGAACATAAATTTCTTTTAGAAGATGAACAACGTAAATTAAAAGAACAAAATACTTCACTTATATGTACAGTTGAAAAACTAATCTATTCTGGAATTATATCAATTGAAGTACAATTTAAAAATGATATTAATCCTAATTTTGAAAATATTATTAAAAATGTTCGAACGAATGAATTACAACAAGCAAAAATTCTACATAATTATGCACTCTGTTGGCATTTAACATTAGCTTATCGATATAAAGATTTAGATAATGAAATTCAAACAAAAACTCAACAAATAATCGATAATATTCCTCCAACATCAAAATTTCCTTTTGATATTCCACTTGATCATATACGAATATGTCATTATAATGATATGACTAAATTTACACCGATTTGATTCAAATAAAAAGAAAAAAAAAACAATTTGAGAATATCAAATTTTATTTAACAGAATAAGATCTAATAAACATTTAAAAAAAATGATTAGGTTATAATTGATTTTTTCTTGTTTTTGTTTCTTTTTGATCAATATGAATGTATTGCAACTAACATAATGATTATAATATTTGAAAAATAAAGAATGATTTTAAAGCTCTTGTTTTTCTTGTTCAAGATCAGCACCAAAATCTGTTATTTGTGAACCAGCAAATGATGAATAAGCTTGAACAATTTCATCTGGTGTACAATAACCATTGTTATTAATATCACATTCTTTTAATAAATGTTCAGTTTCTTGATCGGTTGTCATTGATGATGGTGGTAAATAATAATTAGTAAATTCATTAAAATCACCAAAACCATCATTATTTGCATCAAGTTCTCTACTTAAAGGTTCTGCTTGACCAGTTTCAGCTTCTAAAAAACGAAAAAAAAAAATCTTTTCATTATTTTTTTTTTTCGTTTGATGAAAATACCTGTCAGTTTTAAATATTCAACATTAGAAAGTTTTCCATCCTTATTTTCATCATATTCATTAATCATACTATTAATTTCAATTTTAGTTAATTCTTTATCATCTTCTGGTCGAAGAAATTGTCGAAATTCATCATAAGATAATGATTGATCACCATCTTTATCAAGATATGTCCATTTTTGTTTATCTAGTTTGTATAACTTCAAAAGTGAAAACACATATATATTTATGTAAAATATTAGGAATGAAATTAAATTCTTACTCGTCGAGTTTCACGTGTAGTCATATCTGATTTATCAGATTTTTCTAAATCACTTATTTCGGCATCATCAAAACTATAATGAACATATGCAGGAAATGATATTTTATTTGCCTGTTTTGAATCAAGTGTAGCAATCAAATCATCTGCTTCACGATCACGTTGTTCTCTAAAAAGAAAAAAAAAAACCATTGTATTATCGAAAATTGAAGAAATACAAAGAGATAAAACAAACTTAATACGTTGTGCCGTATAGCTGCGCATTTCATCAAATGTTATTTTTCCGTTTTGATCTGTATCAATTTTATTTGCAATCATACGAAGTTTTTCACGTTGTTCTGCTTCAGTTCCATCAGCATCCTCGCCTAAAATATTTAATTCGTATTTTATTTAAAATAAAATTTTATGAATACCAGTAAATAATTTTGAGTGTGATTCATGATCATGATGATCATCTGAAAAAAAAATTAAAAAAAGTTCAATTTAATATAATAGAAGAATTACTATTTAATTAACTTACGATCATCATGATGATGATGATGATGATGATCATGACCGTGTTTTTCATATTCTTTATCGGCAAAAGAACCAATGATCCATAGAACAACACAGGCAGTAGTTAAGAAGAGACGAGCCATTTTTAAGAAAATTAGAATTATTCTAAATTTTCTCTAAAACAAATAAATGTTTCACTGAAAAATGAAACTACTACAAATCAATACATAAACTATACATGCACTTTGCAAGGCTTGAAATAACAAAAAATGAACGAAGACAATTAATTAGTCTTTAGATCTAGATTTGTCTTCTACCTATTGGTTATGACAATATAGCCAGTTACAAATGAAGACTATAGGGCTCGTTCTAAACGTTGTATGTCATATAATTAAAAAAAATTTCACTAATAAAAACTCATAGATTCAAAACATTAAAAAGAAAAATCATATCATTTATGACTTTTACAGTGAAAATAAAACGCGGAAAAAAAGAAATGTCATTGAAGCAATAGTGTTTCAAAATTATAAATCGGAAACGAACTTTGTAACCAAGCAAATACAATATAATTTAATTTTTCATCGAAACCATTGGACTATTTCGATTAAAATACGAGAAGAAAAGGTACATACGACGAAACAATCATACGGAAAAGTGTGTACGATCAAACTTTTGCACGGTAAAATGCACAGAATGAAAGCTTCGTATAGCAAGACATGCATAATAAATCCTTCGAACAGGATGATGCGCATGATTAACTTTTGCATTGATCGTTTGTATACAAGATGAAAAAAAAAGATGCATGTTTATACTCCTCAAGACAAGAAAAATACGACGAGATATAGTATGAGCGTCACTGTTAGAGTAGACCGATTGCTGAAGAAAAAAACTAAAGAGTGTATTGACATTGTATCTTCACTCACGCTCATACTTCACCTTTAGTTGCCTACAGTATTTTGAATTTTTTACTATTAATTATAGTTCATTGCTGTTCAAGAAGAATATAATCTCATGTTAATATTCAATGCTGAACGTATACTATGATAGTATCTATCAGAATAATACCTTTTTACTAGATAGAATTATTTTTCACTGGATTTTTTTTGTCAGAAGATATTGTTTTAAATATTTTCTACTTTGATTGAATATTGATTTAACTATAACAAATTTTTCAATATTAAAAAATACAAAAAGCTCGGACTTCTCCTACTTTCTTTTGATCATGTACACACACACATATATATATACTTATTAAAAAATAACTAATAATGAAATATTCAAAATGAGTAAATATATGCAGATAATGTTGCAATAAACCTCTTTTGCATATTAATATCAAGACAAATCAAAAGATGACATGATTAAATTTAGTTGATTAGTACAAGTTATAGTTATTCAAAAGAACATTTTTAGACAACTTTTTACTTCTTTACTTTTGTAACAAGAAAAATAAATAAAGTCTTTTCCATCATCAATAAATATTGAGTATGGTTGTACCTTTCAACGTAAAGAAATCAGAAAACGATTGTTAGAATACTTTCTAGCATTTGACAATTAGTTCAAATAAAAAGTGCATTCATTCTTATTACCATTTACTTTTTTTCAAGGTCATTTTGAAAAAGAAAATGAAGCCTATGAACCAGTTTGAATTTGAAAAACACTACTAGTGTTTGTTACTCGAGCTCTCATCATCATCATAATCTATTGATTCTACTCTTGATTTATGAGAAGAAAAAAAAAACAAGAGTGATTGACATTGTCAGCTTTATTGTTAACTATATTTGAACATCTGGTAAAGATCAAGTGTATTGATGTCGTATTTTTATGATGTAAATTTCTCTTTTTGTTTTCTTTCATCTTTTGTATGATAACAACGCTTTTGTTTTTAAAATATTATTTATTGATCATATACTGATACACAATGTTAGTATCACCAGTGAATAATCATTGACAAAATTGAGTATTATATAATGAAGAATTAAAATTATTATCTTCATACAACAAGAAAAAACAATTTTTCAATGACTTTTCTTTATATTTCCATTATCGAACTTCAGATATGTTAGTATGAGATGTTTCTGAACATTTCGAAAATCGCTATTAATGCTTGTCTTATCTAATGTCAGACAATGCGAAGTATCTTTTTTCTATGAAGACGAAACAAGAAAACGATATTGTAAAAATAACTCATACTACTAAAACATTGAAAACTTATTTCTTTCTAAGCCGTTGGCTATAGTCATCAATAAAAGAAAAAGACGAAAAAAAAAATGGTTAAAATTATATGGTAAAATAAAGATTTTGCATTTTTATTGGTTTGCAATTTTCCTATGACGTGAATAAGATTCCTTCCATTCTGTAGGCTTATATGCTTCACTTCAGTCACTTTCTTCGTCCTCCACGTTCGAGTCTATAGATAAATGGAACTGTGTATTTTAGTAGTAGGATTGGTTCATTTATTCATCCAATACTTTCTAGTTTTGTTTTTCTCCTTGTTCTTCTAATTATAATTGTTTCTTTCTCTATTACCTATTTTATCAAGATCTATTAAAATGGCATCTTCAATTAACAATTATATTCATAAATTTGAAGATATAATTAAAGGATATGTATATGAAGGTCCACTTACACCATTCTGGAGTCTTCTTGAACAAAAGACTAAACTTAAACGTGAACGTATTGCTTTAGGTATCTCAAGAATATTCCTATGTTTAGTATCTTATAGCTGTTGCTTATTCTATTAGGTTTACTTGGTTTTATTGCTATCTATTTGGTTCTTGGTTGGGCTAAAGATTTTGTTTGTAATTTTATTGGATTTATTTATCCCGCATATGCTTCGTAAGTTTGTTTTTTTTTTGTATTAGTATTTAAATCAAGAAAAAAGACTTTATTTCTAATCATTAAAGAGTTTTAGCTGTTGAATCAACAGTCACACATGATGATACAGAATGGTTGATCTATTGGATTGTTTATGCATCATTTGGATTTGCTGAGTATATTGGATATGCATTTTTTCATTCATTACCATTTTATTGGCTTGGTAAATGTGCTTTTCTTATATGGTTAATGATTCCAGGAGAAAAAGGTGGTTCTTATATTCTATATCATCGTTTTATCCGTCCATTTGTACTTAAGCATCATCCTGTTATTGATAAACATATTCAAGATGGTAAAATATAAATATATATAATATTATTGAATAGAAAATTTTATTTTGATTTTTTTTTTTTTTATTAGCTAAAGAGCAAATCAAGAAATATTCCAGCAATGGTAATAAATAGAATAATTATGAAAATTTTATTTATATACGAAAATTTTGGGTGATGGCGGTGATGGTTTACGATTACAAATATTTACTTATGTGTTATTTCTCATTTCAGATGAATTATTTAAACTAGAATGAAAAAAAGAAAAATATTCTTGGGTTATCTCATTCCATATTATTCTTATATTATTGTATCTCATAAAATATCTTCTCTATAATTTCTTTTTTTATAATATTTGTCTCATTATATCAGTTTAGGTTTATTGTTGTCTTGTAAAAGAAATTATGAATAACCTTTGTATATTTCAATAAAAGTCAATTGATTAGAGAATTATGTCAATAGTTTTTATATTTTGATTTAGAAATATAAGAAATAATATTAATTACGTTTAATGTAACATAAACTACGAAAAAAAAGTAAATAAAAGAAAAAATTAGTTTTATTCATATGAAACTCAATGAATTTAAATGATACCTAGAATGTAAAGTTCAATCTATAAGTATTGCTCTTTCTATAGTATAAGCTATCAACATATGTAATCAATCAATTTGTTTAATAATTATTTGTAGAATCTGAAAATATAAAACGTGATAATGCTTATGGTAATTATATTGATTCTTCACAGTTTGTTTATAGTGCTCATAATATGGAACTCATTTATCACAAAAACAAGCAGTAAAGTAAACAATAACTTTGTAATTCGAAAGACTTAACCTATATTCTCGACAAGGTTGTTTCACTATATTCCATCTGAAATCAAAATCATAATGAATGAACTTATTTGAACCAGAATGTTTATATTAATCTTTCTGTAAAACATCAATACCTTACTTTCAAAAATAGATTATCACTTCAATAAAATTCTACATAATGATGATTCAATCAATCGGCATAATAGTCGACATTACATACAGATATTTGTTGACTATATAGTGATATCTTAAAAAGTTCTCAACAGTAATATGTTTTTATGAAGTATTCTGAGGAGAAATAGTTTAATCAGTATTGTTCTATTTATTTCAATCTCCTTAATATGATCTAAATTTCTCTGTACAAAAGAGGACCACAGGATTTCGATTATGTTCTAGCGTACAAATTTTCCAGAGGTATATGTTCTACTGTGTCTCATTTATTTTTAAAATTTTTTATTAAAAGAGTGTTTCGAGGATTTGGAAAGAGATTTGAAGAATTGTTAAAAGCCCAGAAATAAGATTGACTTCAGTCTTTTAAGATATTCTAGCTCAAAAACTTTAAAAGCTAAGTATATCTTGACGTAAAGATGCTAATCAATGAAGATAGTCTTAAATTGCGGGAAGGCATTTAATCAGAAGTGTCCCAAGCGGGAGTCGAAAGTCGCCCCTTTTCCTAATTTTAAGAAATGGCCGGTTTTTTCTAGCGTCGTATTCGTGTTTTTGCTCAGTAATTCTAAAAAAAAAAACTGCTCAAATCTCTCTGCAATCCTGGTGACACCCCTAGATTTCATTTTATGTAGTGATAACTAATGAATAGAACTACAATAATGTCAGTTATATTAAAAGGATTTGTGAAGCAATGGTATGAACTACGCAAATAAATAACATACGAAAATACTAAGCAAATATATGACAAAATCGAGCAATATACGTGTCAACTCGTTATTTTAATTTTCTCTTTTTTATTGGTGTTTTAGTAAAGGATATCACTATAACTAAGTCATGTATTTGAATATTTCAGTAAAAGAAACCTTTGATTACATTAGAACTTCTTGTTGTTGTTTTTTTAAATATCTGTATATATTCTTGAATACTCTTAATTATTTTAAAAACATCATTTTGAAGTGTAAACTAGTGTCATCTATTATAAGTATGTCGATAATTTTATATTCTATCTACGGTAAAATCTTATTACTAAATAGACTTATTTCAATTTTATAAAATCACATTTTGAAATAAGTTCTTAACTATCGTGTGTCTAACCTCTACCATATGTTCTGATAAAGTAAGATAACGATGGTGCTTTGAAACAATAAAAATAGTGGTCACATCTTAGTGTAAAAAACAGGCATACATATATTGCATGTTAATCAATAAAGCGCCACCTGCTACGTAAACTATTTCATTGATGACATTTGACTTCTGTTTTCAGATTATTCTATTTATATTTTACAAGAAGTAGCGAGAATGACTGCTCGCGATCAAATTCGAGCAATGTTGGATCAATTAATGGGAACCGATAATGGTATGTTTAATTAGATTTAAGGAAAAAAAAACCATCAAATTCTTGTCTTTTTTGATTAACTATTTTATTGTTTTGTTCATCCGATATCAGAAACAATTCGATTTAAAAGAAAAAAAAAAAGAAAATTCTATTCTTAGTTTTATTATGTTAAATGATAAAAACGCTCTTTTTCTCTTCATTGAAGAGAAAAAGAGTGTATAATGTATATACAATTTTTTTTTGTTTTTTTGAAATTGCCTATGACTTATCTACTATCTCATTTTTAATCTGTCACACATTCTCTGTTTTGAACGCTGTGTTTTTAGCTAATGTCATGATGAATATGTCTATGTTGGGTTTAATAAGCTCTGCGAGCAGCAGCTACTACAAAATAAATATCGTGAGTATATATAAATAATAAATCGAGAAGTGGCTCCTCTGTGTGAGTAAAATATATAATCTATAACATTGAATTGATATCTTAATTTGATATCTTCATTTTTATTGGTTTTATATATTTTTTTTTTGTATTATCTTATGGTTTCGATTAAAAAAAGAAAGAAAACTTTCTTCATAGCATAGAGGGTACGTATTCGAGGAGAATCAGGTAAGTATTCCTGCGTTTATTTTATGAGATATCTAGATATTTAAAAATATATATATATATATGTTCATATCATTGTTATTCTCATATGAAAAAACATATTACAGGTTCAACTAAATCAAGTATGTCGTTTGAAGATCGTCGAGTTTGTCGACCATTTTTATTAAATTGTTGTCCACATGAAATTCTATCTGGAACGGTAAGATTATTTATTCAAATAGAAAAAACAAAAAAAATTTGTTTTTTTTTTTGTTTTGATAGCGTGTTGATTTGGGTGAATGTACAAAAATTCATGAATATGCTTTACGTGCAGATTATGAACGAGCAGCAGCTACACGTGATTTATATTATGAAATGGATGTATGTATAAGATATAGAATCAAATTGAAAAAAAAATATATATAATATTTGCTATTCTTTTCATAATTAGGCATTAGATATGTTGAATAAATTTGTTGCTGAATGTGATCGAAAAACTGAACATGCTAAACGAAAACTTCATGAAACACAAGAAGAATTAGGTGAAGAAGCTGCACGAAAAGTATATTATTTAATTTAATTTATGATATAAAATATTTTTAAAAAAAATAATTTAAAATCAATTTTTAGATGAATACAATTCATGAACTTGGTGAACAAATTGGTACAAAATTAGCTAAAGCTGAAGAATTAGGTGCACAAGGTTTAGTTGATGAATCAATGAAATTATTAGAAGAAGTTGAAGCATTAAGAAAAGCTAAATTAGAAGCTGAACAAGAATTTCGTTCAACAATGCCAGCATCAACATATCAACAACAAAAATTACGTGTATGTGAAGTATGTTCAGCTTATTTAGGTATACATGATAATGATCGTCGTTTGGCTGATCATTTTGGTGGAAAATTACATTTGGGTTTTATACAAATACGTGAAAAATTAGCGGATTTAAAAAAACGTGTCAATGATTTAAATGAAAAACGTGATCTTGAAAGACAAAATCGTCGAAAGTAAATACAATATGTTCATAGATTTTTATAAACGAAAAAAAGATAAAAAAATTCTTTTATCTTTTAGTTCACCATCACCATCATCACGAAATAATCGTCGAAATGATGATAGAGATAGAAATAATTATCGTTCATCACATCGTAGTAATAGTCGATCAAAAAAAACTTCTAACAAAGATAAAGATCGACGACGATCACGTTCAAAGTAAAAATATACATATATAATAATTAATAAAATTTTAATATTAAATTTGTTTTTATTTTTCTATTTCTTAGATCTGATCGTCGTTCATCAAAATATTCACGTAGTCATCGTTCACGTTCACGTTCTCATGGTCGACGACATAGTAAACGTTCTCGTTCACGGTAATGTTAAATTTTTAAAAACAATAAAATTTGAAATCATTCTTCGATAGAAAATCATGACCTTAAATGTGTAGATTGATGACATTGATAAAAAACAAAAAGATTATTCAAGGATATCCCCAATTTATTTGAAAATGAAAATCAAAACTTATCGACATTTGTGTTTTTTTCTAGTGTATAAGACATTTTTCGATATACCTGATCATGTTTATTTAAGATATGAATGATTCGAAAAGAGTACTGCTCCTTTTTTTTGCAGTTGTTTATCAGTCATATGTGCGCATCTATCAACAACTTTCAATCGATATGCTGGTTATTCTTTAACTAGAAACATCTGGTAGATATAAACAAGAAGAAAACGTTGTTGAAAGTCTATTCAAGTTTTTTGAAAGAAAAATACTATTTCACTCTTGTCTCTTCAACATGGTAAGAGATATCCAGCTGTAAATTTTGTTTTTTTTTACATATACAAGAGTGTATTTGATGTGAATACTTTTTTTTCTATTTAAAAAAATATAGAACTGGTAATTTTTTGATGATTTCTACAAGATTTATTATAGTAAAATAAAAAATGCTTTTTTTATGACTTGTCCAACATTTTAGTTATTCTATTCAAAGAACGAGAGCATCAGAAATTTAAAAAAAAAACAGATCCATCCGAAATAGAGTTCAGCATCTGTTAGAAATATGATTAACTCGATCGAACATTTGTATCTTGTAGAAGGAAGCATTTCGAAAGTTTGTATCTATGATATCTTTTGCTTTACTCATCAAGATTTGAAAAATTTCTGATAAGTCATTCTATGAAAACTTGATACTCTTAATAGAGATCGAACTAGTAAATTTCTGTTCGATTCTATCTTTGATACTTAGAATAAATTAAACATTTTTATTATATTTAGTTCTGGTTCATCACGTCGTCATCGTCGTTCACGATCACATTCTGGAACATCATCATCTAAACGTCATCATCGTCATCAACATCATTCAAAATCACCTGTACACTCATCATCAAATTCAAAATATAATGAAAGCAATGATTCTCAACGTAAAAATAAACCTGATGATAATGTATCAACTAATCATGTTGATGATGATGAAGAAACAACACGTATTCTTGAAAATATTCAAAGAAGTATGACAGAAGATAATATTAATCGTGAACAATAAAAACAATATATATATATATAGATACAGATGAAAGAACTTCATTAAATAAATCAAATAAAAAATACACTATGATCTGTATATGTGTGTTTATCATTTGTTTATTTCTTGTTGTGTATGTTAATTGTATTTGTCTTTTCGAAATAGATACACGTCAAACTTGAAGAAAGAAAAAAAAAATACATTTGTTTTTATTATTCCAATATTTATTGTAGATTAAACCAAAAAAAAAAAAAAAGAAAATATATCTATCAAAATAGAGTTCGATTTTGAATTTCGTCTTACTTGTTATTTAATTATTTGGTTAATATTAATTTTTATTACAATTCTTCTTGCTTGGCATCGTTATAATTGTAGTATTATTCAACAATTGTATAAAAAATGTAAGAAAAAATATAATTGAATAGTCTTAGAAGCATGAAAATGATTGTTCTTGTGTTCGAGAACGTGTTTCTGCATGATTTTGTCTGTGAGTCATGCAGAGTCGTAATTCTCGTAAGATAAAAATATTCGGATACCATTTTGAAATAATCGTTAAATGATCATTTTAAAAATTTGCCCCGATATATAAAAAATTGAATTTTTTCTTTTCTTTTCTAGCTTCAAATTTTGAATTTCACGGTCGATCACGATCACATAGTTTATTGAAGACATTAAATACAAATTCTATTAGTACCAGCGCCGTTGCTTCTTCAAAAAAACTTGATTAAATAATGTATTGAATTATATTTTATTCTAATGGACAATCCTGTTTTTTTGGATGAAGAAATTCCATTTGTTGAATCAGGTGTTTATGAAATAGATGAAGCAGGCGGTGGCAGCGGCAATGGTACAACAACACTTGGACATGGAAATATTATATCACTTAATCATCAAAGACATCCTTTTGAAGATGATTCAATATGGTCGACAACTATACCTGTTAAACGTGGTCGACGTCCAAAATCGACAACTGTTGTTATAACAACATCATCAACATCATCAGTACAAAAATCTGAACCTAAACGACGAGGACGAAAATCGAAACAAGAAATTTTATTATCAACTAAATCTTTATCATCAACAAATAATAATAATAATAATAATAATTTAAATGATATTCTTTCGGAATCAACTAAAGATATTGAACAAAAACAACAACGACATTCTACAATAGGATTAAAATCAATAAAAAAAACTAAAACTGAAGAACAACAACTTTCTGGTAAATTGATATGATAGATAAGTCCCTCTTTATTATAGAACAAAGTTCTGTAGGCTGCAAATGCTTTTGAAGCTTCTGAGGTAATATTACAATTGCAAATCATTTTCATAAACATCAGAATTGATTTGAATTTCAAAATTTTCTTAATACTAACTACTGAATCTTTCCTAATTCGATGAGAAATTCTCTATTAGAATACAAAGATCATTGACGCTTGTTTTCATTTAATTTTCTTATCATTTAGAAAACATCAGTTTACGATCAAAACGACCTATAAAATCTTCAACACAATCAGACTCACAACAAATTGGTTCGAGTTTAACAACCAATCAACTTCCAATAACAAGTAATACGTCTACAAATATGAATCTTAGTACAACTGGTAATATTGTTATTATGGGTAGTATTAGTGGAGATAATAAATCAATAAATAATAATCCAACAACATCATATGATCAAGCAGCTATATTACATGCACTTTGTCAAGCAGGTGTTAATCCATTACATCATGATCCAACAGGAGATGATTCAGATACAGATTCGGATGATGAAAGTGAATCTGATGATGAATCAATGAATAGTGATAATGAAAATAATCAATTATCAAATATGAATAATAATGTAGCACATTTAATAAATTCAACATCACGTGGACGAACACATCAACAATCAACAAAAAATACGAATGATAATACTAATAATAATAAAAAATCTTCCACAGTACGTCGTTCAACAACAACAAATAATAATAATAAAAAGAAACAAGAACATCATAATAAAAGTGATACAGATGACGATGATGATGATGATGACGACGATGATTCATCATCATCTAATGAAGATCTTGATGAATTAGATGTTGGAAATGATACAAATAATAATTTAAGTAGTATTGTTGATTCACTTGATGGTGATTCATCATTAATTGTTCCACCAGATTTTTCTAATCCTGATTATGTACAAAATCTTGTTAAACCACATCGTAAACGTCGTACACATTTACCAACTGATGATCAACCTAAAACAATACGTTGTCCACAATCAGGTTGTACAAAAATGTTTCGTGATACAGCATCAATGAATAAACATTTACATACACATGGCCCACGTAAGAATAACAAAAAAATAAAATATAAATCATAAATATTCTTTTATTATTATCATTTAAGGTGTACATGTATGTCATGAATGTCAAAAATCATTTGTTGAAAGTTCAAAATTACGTCGTCATCAACTTGTACACACTGGTGAAAAAGCATTTCAATGTCCATTTGAAGGATGTGGAAAACGTTTTTCACTTGATTTTAATTTACGTACACATGTTCGAATACATACAGGTGATAAACCTTATGTTTGTCCATTTGATGGTTGTAGTCGTCGTTTTGCCCAATCAACGAATCTCAAACAACATCTTTTAACACATGCAAAAATTCGTTCACATCAACCATTTGCTATTCCAGCTGTGGCTGTTACAATTACAGAAATTCAACCACAGTATTGAAGAAAACTATATATATATATATATATATTATATGTATACATATATCTTTAAATATAACGTACCCTTCTTTCTTTTTCATATATGAAATCTATTCTGTTTTGTGTATTTGTGTCTCTATCGATATGTGTGTATGTTGTTTTTGTACATAAATGTCACATGATCAGCCAGTCAGTCACTCATTCAACTACATCGGTGATGATATATTATTCTCTTCGAGTTTAATGCTATATTGTATACTCTAGAATGGTATGCATCATCAATCTTTATATTCGATTACCTATCTATCGTACATTTTGTTTTTTTGGTTACTTGTTTTAGAAATTATATTCATTCATTCATTCATTCATTCATTCTTCTCAATAAAAACAAAATGATGAGCAAGATTAAGCAATGAAAATTATATTTCCAGAACAAATTTTATTTTATTTTTTTTTCTCTTCTAGATATGTCTAATATTAAGAAATTTTTTTCGAAAATAAAAAGTGAAGTAAAATTTGCTAAAGCTGGCGAGGGACATAAATTAAATGAACCAACACCAAATCCTCGATATGTAGAATCACAATCACGTCCTCAAACATCTACAAGACAAAGTTCTGATGGAGGAGCAGCAGCTCGAGCTGCAGCTGAAGCAGCACAACAACGTTTACAACAGCAATTATCTTGGCAACAAGCAGCAGCTCCAAGTAAGAATAAAGAAATTTTTAAAATAAAATTATTTTTGGTGAATTTTAAAAAGTCTACAGAAAATTCCAAAACGAGTAGATTAGACTGACAATTTTGTATTATTTACGAATATATGAGTTGAAAAATTTTCCAAGACTTTGATTTAGGAATTATTAATAAAATTTTTAGAGACACGAAAATTAAATCTGAACAGATGAGATTATAATTGACTAATTATTTTTGCATTATTCATTTTAATGTTTTCAACATTGTATTGAATTCGACAAGACAATTAAACAAAACATTTTTTTTTTAGGTAGTCGTACTGCTGATACTATTCGTCGTCAAGCTCAACGTGAACTTGAACAAGAAAAAGCACTTGAAAATGAATTTCAACGTGCACTTGATTTAAAAGAACATTATTTTGGCAATCGACAAGTATATTCAAATTGAATTTTCTTTTTCTTATATATAAATTCTTTGATTTTATTTAAGATTAGTGTCGAAAGTTCTCCAGTAGTTGATCTTTCAAAATTTCTTTTTAAATGTCCTGATGTATTTGGTGATGATGTTTGTTTACCATACAATGATTTACAGCAACAAATAGAAAATACACTTCGATTACAACTTGATTCTGAACCTGTTGTTGCTGCTACACTTCTCTTTTTAACATGTAATCAAAAAGATCAAGATAAAGTAAATGCTAGTAAAGAAATTATATGTAAATATTTCGATAATATTATTGCTAATCCCGATGAAGAAAAATATCGTCGAATTCGATTACAAAATAAAGTTTATCTTGAGGTAAAATTATATTCATAATTTCTTTTCTTTTTTTTCTCCTAATATTCTAATTTGATTGTGTTTTTTTTTCATTTGATTTTCTTAGAAAGTTGCACCATTAAAATATGCTTTTGAATTACTTCAATCTAGTGGTTTTATATTATCTGATGATAAAGAATCAATTATTTATCAAGAACGTTCTATTGAGCCATTACAATTAGCACGAGATACACTTATGAATGGTGAACCAATACAAATACAACTTGATAGAAATTTAAAAATTTTTCAACCAACTAAAGAACGTTCATCAGTACCACCTGTAGAACAATTACCACAAGATTCATTATTATATCAAACAACTGTTGGAGATATATTACGTGAAAAACAACGACAAAAAGATTTGATTGAAAAAGAAGAAATGTTAAGAACAAAGGCAATGCGTGAACGTGACGAAAAACCTGATCCATATGTACAATATAAATATACAGTTATACGTATACGAATGCCTAATGAAATTATAATACAAGTTATATTTCAATCAAATGATAAACTTTCATCTTTATTTGATTATTTACGTTCACATATTCTTGTACATAATTGGTTACCATTTACATTAATATTAAATGTTGATCGACGAGTTTATTCAAGTCAAGATGAACAATCAATAACATTTAATCAATGTGGTCTTGTACCAGCTGCTGTACTTTCATTTCAATGGAATGAACAAGCATTACGTGAAGTACAAGCACAAACACCAAATTTTCCGGCTAATGCTTTTATTAAACCTGATATACTAGCAAATGCAAATCGACTGTGAATCCTCTTTTATTTTTCCTTTCTTTTTCTTTTTATGCGATCATATTTTAATATTATTTATTCCTATATCCTCTATATAGTGTTTTTACAATGAGTGTAAATATATATATGTATTTCAGAAATTTAAAGAACAAAAAAAAAAAAAAAAAAGAAAGAAAAGATGATTGAAAAAATGATAAAAATGAAATCGGATGTATTGAAATTATTTCGAACGGCTATTGATGCTGTTGATCCATATACATGTGTTAAACATCATCTTGTTTTTAATAATCATTCAAATAATGGAATAACAGAATTACATATTGGAAATAATCATATCATACTTGATCATAATCTTTATATTGCGGCATTTGGAAAAGCAGCTATAGGTAGAAAAATATTTAGATATATTATTAATCAAAAATAATATATATCTTTTATATTTAATAAGGTATGTGTCGAGCTGTAGATGAACTTTTTCATGAGCATATCATCAAAGGTATTGCAAGTGTTCCTGTTGGTAGTATTGAACAAGCAAAAAGGAAAGATTTATACATATATATGTATGTATATGTACATGTTGATCGAAATTGAATTCTTTTAGAAATGGCATTTATTCATCATGGAATTGTTCATTTGATATTTATGAAGGTGCTGAACATAATTTACCCGATCAAGCAGCAATGAATACTGCTCAACATATTCAAACAATGATTTCAAATACAATGTGTGCTGATGATATTTTCTTAGTACTCATTTCAGGTGATATATTGTAGACAAAAAAAAAGAACAAAAGCAACTGATTTATTATTGTTATTGTTATTATTTATTTTATTCTGTATTTTCTTGTACAAGAAAGTTTTTTATCAACCGAACATGGGACCTGGATTTTCTGAATAGTCATCAAAACGTCGTTGTAATGGTTCGTGGTTGTATAATAATTCAGCCAAAATATTGTCTTCATTACTTGATGATGATTGAATATCTCTTCGTCGAACTGCTGAATGTTCAGGCAATAGTGAATGAGGACGTTTGCGTACAAAAATACCTAAATTTGATCCTCGAAAAAGAGGAATAGATGTACGCGCATGAGAATCAATACGACGTTTCAGGAAATTGTCTTGTTCTTCCAATAATGGTGATGATAAAGCTGCTTGTTGAGTATAGATAACATAGCATACAAGTAGCAAACCTTCAATAAAATACAAAGAATAAAACAAAAAAAAAAGAATTCATATTGATAGATTATTAGTAAGTTTTTACCAGTAACGCAGACGAGTTGCATGAAAGAGACCATGATGTGTTAAATAAAATGAAATAGTTTAGTGATGAGGATAAATGATCTGGTTGAAATAATATATGCTTTTATGTCTTGATTCTATCGTTTGTTATATATAGATATAATAACTGTAAGATTTTATTTCTTTCTTTTTTCTTCTCTCTCTCTCTCTTTGTCTCTTTGTCTCTTTTTTCTTGTTTCTTTTTATGATAATAGTTAGCACGAAAAATATGAACGACATTAATGAAGATTTGAACAAATTATATTGCATGATATAATTTTTAATCGTATTTGAGTTTCTCATTTTCTTTTTTTTTGTAGTTCATTATTGAAGATATAAGTGCGTGTGTACAAGACAATTCGAGATGTGCTGCGTGATTTAGAAAATATTCGATCCTTTTCAAATAGATCGTGACATGCCCTTCAGATGACGTCAGTCCATCATCAAAATAAATAAATATATATATATATATATATAGAATCTTGAATGAAAAACTAAAATTTCGACCTGTCCAAGCGTGACAGAATCACGTTTTTTCACTTTGCTTTTTCAATATTTCAATGAAATGAAGTTGGATAAGGCTGAAATATTCACAGGTTATGTAAATCGATTTCCTCTACACATACTGAAAGGTTCATTAGATTTCAAGTTTCGGTACCTATTTTATGGTTGAAATATAGACCGTGACGGAATCACCAAAAACGAACTTGAATTTTGAGTGTTGTGCAAAGAATTAAAAAACTTAGCACAACTATAAATGTAATGAAAAAAGTTTCTTTAGAAAAGTTATAGCTCTGATGACGAGTTACATATACAAAAAAAGAAAATTTGAAAAATACACAAGGCTAATTTTGTAGACAGAAAAGGAGTCGTGACGGAATCACATTTGAGAAATGAGGATGTTTTTCAACTTTAATTTTCTTCAAAAATATAAAGATAATCCCACAGAATAAACAATCCGATATCGTGCATGAAAAAGCAACGAAAAAAAACATTTTAAGCCATTTATGTGATAAAGCAAAAATTCTTTTCGAAAGCGTCAGTGATATATTAAACATTGACATTTAAGAGGTAATGCACACCAGTCACGATCAATTCCAACAGAACCTTACTCAATCGATCTCATCAATCCAGCTGATATTTTCACAGTAGATACATCTAGTAAAGTTAGGAAGAAACTAAAAATTTCATCTCAAACGACTGAGTCATTATGGAGATATAGACGTTACAAGTATAGGTATTTAGACACATTTGTAGTATCTTCCAGAGCAATACTTTTCAGTTAAATTTGATTTTCTAAAGTACAACAAGAGTTATAACAGAGATCTTTTTTGCCATAGATGCTGTCGACCATATTCTATCTTTTTATGGGATTGCAAGTGCCGTATCGATTAATATGTTTTGGCTGATGCCATATGCCATTTGTAGAAGTCATGTCCACTTTGGTACACGAAACTTTTTGAACAAGGCCAAAAAGGTCAAATTTACCATATGATTCTAACAATACCAATTGATGATTTATTCTCAAGTGTTCGATTTATGTGATTTAGATGAGAGCCTATATCAAGAAACCTCTAAAGCCCAAATTTCAACTCGTTTGGACATAATTGTGAAAGATGACAGAAGATGTACTTTTTCAAATCTTACTGGATGATATTCGATTCACCTAATTTTTCATACGTTTTTAGAAGAGAATATTCCTCAATGGCAAATCAGTTTTGAGTCAGAACTATGGGCATCATATTCCATGGACGATAGTATGTATGGTAAAAAAATCTTTGTTATAACTCCTGTTGTTCTTTAGAAAATCAAATTTAACTGAAAAGTATTGCTTGGAAGATACTACCAGTGTGTCTAAATACCTATACTTGTAACATCTCTTGTCTCCATAATGATTCACTCGTTTGAGATGAAAATGTTAATTTCTTCCTAACTTTACTATGTCTACCTACTGTGAAAATATCAGCCAGGGTGATGATATCGAATGAGAATGGTTCTGCTGGAATTGGTCGTGGCTTACACGAAATGCCTCCTAAATGACTTCTCCAACCCATGTGATAAAATTAACTGGAAACTATCATAAAATGACTCCAAAACTAGCTAATCGAGCTTTACGATCTGTTTTATACATGTTAACATCTCATTGGGGCCACAACTTCAGAGAAAGTTAATGTTTCCAAGTTTTGTGAAGAAAACCTAATCGTTTGAGGGTGATTCCGTCACGATTCTCGTGACCAGCTGGAATGTTCATAAAAATAGGTAATCCATTGGTTGGATAGAGTGCAAAAAAAACTGTATTTAGAGCACTGCTTTTTAGAATGTAAAACCTAGTGCTCCTGACTAAAAATTAATTAAAACGAATTTTCATGACGGAATCATCTTCACCAATGTATTACCTTTACAAATGTAAATAATTTTCTGAGGAAATGACGAAATATAGTCCTCTTGCTATAATTAAGTAGAGTATCGAAAGCATTGTTAGTTGGTGTGAAAGAGATTTTAAACAAGATATATTTGTTTATATAAAAAATCCTCAAATAAGATTTTATAATAAACATTGACTTTTATCGCTTCTAAGACACATCTTCGTAGCACAGTTTTTTCTAAGAAATGTCGTAACTATGTAAATAAAAAATATATTTCCATATGTTATCAACATCGCTCTACACGATGATCATATTGGTTTCAATTAATTGAGTAGGTCAACTTCGTCCACTAAGGTGTACTGTTACGTGGACAGCCCGATTTCTTTTGTTTTTAAATTTAACATGCTCATTAAATTTTAACAAATGATTAATTTAGGTGGTGGTTCAGCATTACTACCGTTACCTATTGATGCTCTTTCACTAGAAGAAGAAATTCAACTAATAAAATTACTACAAAGTAAAGGAGCAAATATTCAAGAACTTAATACAGTTCGACAAGCTATGAGTCAACTTAAAAATGGTGGACTTGTTCGAATATCTAAAGCAACAACTGTTAGTAAATGCTATTGTTTATTTTGATTTTTTTGTTAATGTGGCATTGTTTCTATTTACATCTTTATTTTTCGAAAAAAGATTATTGGATTAATTCTTTCGGATGTTATTGGAGATCCACTTGAATTCATTGCATCTGGTCCAACATTCTATAGTGGCAATAAAAATCGACCAGCACTTGATATTTTCAATAAATATGATCTTTTGAATCATATTCCTACTCGATTTCTTCAACATTTAAAAGAAAATGAAAATACTAACAATGATCAAAATATGTGAGTTTATTTTGTCTACATACTAATTGATATGTGATAGTTTCCAATCAAATAATTGAACTGTTTCCGATCGCATCGAATTCTTTTTATCAGAACTAAAACTGATGTTCTTGAATTTCTTATTTAACTGTGTGCTAAAATAAAATTTAGCAGTTGACTAAATCATCCCACATGAAAAGAACTAATTACTAAACTTAGTTCATATGAGAAGAGCTGATAAGTAGTTTTCTTTTTATTTCAATTCTCATGACTTTTCTTGAACTAAGCGTTGTCAAACGCCCACATAATCATCAAAGAAAATCATTATCTATTTTTATCGTTGAAGATCTTCAATTAAACAAATTCATAATATTATTGTCGGTAGCAATCGTATTGCATTAGAAGCAGCTGCTCATTTATGTCATCAGTCACTCGCCTACGTTCCTTTTATTGCAACAACCTCTTTACAAGGTGAAGCACGCGAAGTTGGCCGTCGTATTATTGAACTTGTCACAACAAAACCATCTCAGTTAATTTATAATGATAATATTGCTTGTTTATTTTCTGATCAATCAACATTTGATGCTTTTCAAAAATTGATCAAAGAATACAAACATTATTGTCTTTTATTAGGTGGTGAAACAACAGTCATAATGAAAAATGATGTTGGAAAAGGTGGTCGATGTCAAGAACTTGCATTATCAGCAGCATTAACTATTGACAATAATAATGAAGATACATCTATAATATTATTAGCAGCCGGTTCAGATGGAATTGATGGACCGACTGATGCAGCTGGTGCTTTTGCATATAATGGTATGATTACCAATGAGGACGACATCAAACGAGCTCATATATCACTTGATAAACATGATACATATACATACTTTAGTGAAACAAATGATGGTGCTAATCTTCTCAAAAGTGGACATACTAGTACAAATGTAATGGATATTATTATAGTACTTGTTGATAACAAAGAATAATAATCAATAAATTCATTTGCAATCTTATATAGATATTATTTTAACATCTATGCAAACTTAGTCTATTTGTTTTGAACATTTTTTTTCGTTTTGTTGTTAATCATTAAAATTGAAAAATATGTAACAATTTTAAACTACTCATATCTATTAATATTTCATACTTTCATTAATATTGAATTTTTATTCTAATAAATTTCTGGATATTTAGGTTGTTATTCATTCTAACTTTAATATTCTACATACACTATATCATGTATAATACATTATTAGACTATTTTTTGCCATAGGATGAATTCATACAAAAAAATTTTGTCAAGAATCAAATAATAAATTGAACTTCATCAATGAAATTTGATTTAAATTGAATACCTTTTTCATGAAATGATCAAAAAGAAAAACAAGAACTAATAAACTTGGTAACAGCGCAAAATTATGTTTCAGTATATCTTAAATCTTCATCATTTCGTATGTTCAATTCATCTTATGGTTCATCTCGTATAAATCAGTTAACCCGATCAACATCCATCGAATATTTTGATGATCAAGATCTTTCTACATTACAATTTTGGATGTTTATGGGTACTCATAAGAAATTTGAAAAAAATAATAAACTTCAAATTTCCTATCTAATTTTTCAGGAGTATTAATTTCTTTTTTAATTCTTGTATTCATTGTTTTAAGTACTATTATTTATTATGAACTATTTACTGAAAATAAGAATGAATTAACTGAAGAACATGCTAAACGATTAAAAGATTTTAAAGTGAGTAGCTTATTATTAAACAGAGCCTTCATTAGTTATATCTATCTCTGAATCATTAGAGAAATTACGTAAAGTTTGTCTTTCGCTATTATTGTATTTTTGTGAAACATGATTGTTAATGAGTGTTGAAGTGTGTAACGAAAATATGAATCCATTCTACATCAGCTTGTCACAAAGAGTACAGCAAGCATGTCGATCTTCTTTTAATCTACTGACAGATTTGTAACAGGCATGTCAGTATGTCTGCAAAGATCTAGTGGATTTTTCAGTATGCTGGTTTTAGTCTTGTCATGGTTTGTGATATAGATGATGAGCTTGGCCACAATAATTAAAGTAACTCTATCGTGTTTAACATTTTAATTCCATAGGAATTGGGCTAACAGCTTTTTCTTCATTATATATTTTCATAAGTTTTCTCTCTTTTGATATTCATCAATGGACAGATCATTTCATAGGACTACAAATTCTATATTAGCTTTATACACTGAATAAATGTTCATCAAACATAAAAATTATGAATTAACCATATATCTATTCTACTACTCTCAAGAGATTTACTCTGTTATGTCTTACGTCTCGGAGAAAGATATGGCATAAATACTACGAAATGAATATAAATATATGATAAATTATAATGATTAGATATGTCACATTACCGTATGGACATTGTGATGTGTCTAACAATGATGAAAAAGATATCAAAACGAGTAGATATAAAAAAAATAAAAACGGGTTTGATTTACAAATAGACAGCATGTCTAGTATGATCAATTTTTTTTAAATAAATCTATACCAACCGCTAAGGAATCCTCTATTGACTGGTGACCGTCACTGATAATAACTTGTTTTTTTTAATTATTATTGTACTTTAAGGAGCTTACAGGTCTTCAAATTGAATTAAATGATATTCAATCAATTTTAATGAATGAATTTATTTTGGAAGCATGGAAACGTGAAAAATATAGACGAGAAAGACATATTTAAATAATTAATTATATCAACGGAATACAACATTCATTCATAGCAAAGACAAATACAGATACAATAGACTATACAACAATAAAAAAGAAAATGAGGAAGATAATCTTCTATTCCTACTACTACTACTACAGGAAGAAATCCATTGTTCATATTGTTCATTAGTTTCATTAGATAATTGTTTTTGTATTTTCATACGATATTGATTATTATTATTATTATTACTATGATTTATTGAATAACGTCGATAATATTTTTGTACATCGAGAATAAGTCGAAAATTTTTTGTACGACATAAACCGTCAAATTTTTGATTAATTCCTGTTTTTTGTCCATTTGATGTTGAAATAAAATAATAAGAATGATTATCAAGAAATTCTGGCATATTTGGATATGGTAAATATTTTGATATTGATAATGTATATATTAAACGTTTTGAATTATATGGTTGATCACATTGTATAAGTGGTTGATAGTTTTCTGTAAGACATAAATGATAATCAATTTTTGATACTAAATATAATGTATTATATTCAACAGATAAAGATTGATTATAATATGGACAAAGAAAATCAATTGTATCACCAAGACGTACATTAAGTATAAATGTTGTATTAGATTGAAAAAATGAATTTGAAGAATTCCATTCAATTTGATAATTTTGTCTTCGTCGATTTTGACATGAAGACAACGATATTAAACTTAATAATAAATAAACATATTTTAAATACGACATAGAATCAAAAATAGAATTTAATTTTTTGAATGAAATTTTTATGAAATATTCGTTCTATTTATCTGAATAAATTTATGAAAATGACGAAGTGCTGAGATTACATAATCAATGACAAGCTGTGAGATTGTGACAAACATCGTATATATGTGTATCTAATTTTTTGTTTTTTTTTCGTGTTGAACATTCCAAAATTTCTCTCGTTCTCTTCCTCTGATGACAAACTATACATTGTAAGGTGATTTGTTGTCAAATGATGTTCATTAGTCAAGATTATTCCGCTTAGATATAATCGAAGAAAAAAGAAAAACAAAATTCTATTCACACTTTTTCTTCTATAATCTATGATGATGAATGATGACAAGAGGTGATTTGTTGACTGATGATGATTCAATCTATTTCATCGGAGAAAATAGATAATGCCTGAAGATATTTTCCTTTTTCGTCTTATTATGATTATTGTTTATATTTGTAAAGATAAACTTAGTGACATGGATCAACAACATTCTTAAATCGCATTTTGTATACATTTTTTTTTTATATTTGTTTCATTTTCTCTCGAAAATATTCACAGTTAAGGTTCATTAGTTAGAATGGTGATGTGTCATTGATTTTCAAATCACTTAAGAGTGTTGCTTGCTCAAATATTACAAATTATTTGTTATTTATTTTGTCTATGTTTATTAACACAATTTGAGCTTTAGCTTTGGCATCTCATTTTTTTTTCTTCACAAGAACTTGAGATAAGACAAGTTAATGGTATTACTTTAAAGTTTCTATTCACATCTTTTTTTTTTTTTGTTGCTTAGAAGAAGAAATTATCAATGAGTAGTTTCATTCTCTATTCCTATCTGTATCTTGCTTTTATCAGCCTGATAATCGGAACTTGCTGACATTGTGTCTGTCTATTAGTTAAGAGTATAGAATAAAGAAAAAGAAAAGTAAAAAGAGACAAAAGAGAGAGAAAAAAAAAGATCAAATTTAAAGCGAAAAAAAAGAGAAAAACTTTGTTTTGTTTACATCGTTAAATATCCAATATAGTTTTGTTGAGTATTAAATTCCAAAATTCTTGTTGTTGATTATCGATTGAAAACAAAACGAAGCTTCTGATTTGATTCTTCGAAATATTTACTTATTCTTCTTTTTAGTCGATTAATATGAGAAAAAGAAAGGAGAACTACTTATCAGCTTGAACGAATACAACAATAATATTTGATGTCCTTCTTATAATATATACAGATGTAGACGGACGCTCAAGCATTCGGACAGAATGAAGCTCAACAATGGCATGCATACAAACTCAATCTCTCTTTAACGGCTGTCGAATAAATGAACTAGCCGTATGTCTGTATGGTTTTTTTTTTGCTTGTCTTGATGCTCTTGACTTAGTGAAAAAGTGACCAATGTTCAACATCATGGCACATAATAGAACTAAAAATAACAACAAAAGTAAAGAATGAAAATAGTAGTTCAACATTTTGACTCTTTTGATCCGATAAGAAAACAACGGTTGGATAGGCAGTCAGATATATATATTCATAATTTTTTTATTTAAACCATCATCTAGTTTCTCTCTAGAGGGAGTAAAAGAGAGACAGAGAGAGAAAACTAATAATGATTATATTTCATCGACAAGAACTAAATGCCTTATTTTGTCTTGATATTTATATAATATATATATATATATATATATTGGTATGTTAGATTGAACAGCTCTCTCTATCTATATTTACATTTCTTGATCTCTTGGGATAGGGAAAAAGAGAAATCAACCATCATCTTGTTCCATTTTTTGACATTCCAATTAGTATAGAAGCACCGACTCGTGCAATATATATATATACATACAAACACAAACACGTTCGCGTTGATATGTTTGTTCTTTCTTTCACTTATTCACTCATTTCTCTCCTTCTACGTTCTTACTTCTACTACAAGCGCAACGGCTGACTGCTGTGTGTCTGTCAAAACTAAACTTGTCCCAACTAATCGAAATATCGCCTGTAATATATGTATGCATGTATGATGACCGAGCCGACATTGGATGACTGACGTTCTACTGAATTATGAGAAGGAAAGGGCAAATTAACCTAACTGATCACTGTCCGATATTACAGAAAATGTATGGTTTAATCATTTTCTTCATCTCTCTTGTCTTATTCTATATACAGATATCGGAAACGGTCTGTCTCTGCTCTAGTTCTTCTCTCATTTATTGTGTAAGCAAAGAAGGAGATAGTGAGTAATTTTTTCTTTCTCTTTGCCGTCTCGTTTTATCTATGACTTGTGTGCATATATCTATATATATATATATGTACGTTGAGCTTTGAAGACAGGTAATCGATTATGTTGTAGAAATAGAGAGAGAGAGAGAACAACAGTAGTGACGACAAACACAAGCAGCACTTCCTAATGAGAGTATTTTTTTTTTGTTAGATCCTTCTCTTTTTCTTTTGAACGATTGCATCATCACATGGAAATTTCGAATCGCTTTGTACGTGCTTGTATGTCTGTGAATGAAAAAAAATACGTTTTGTGACGGTAGTATACTTTGACAAGTGGGTGGAGTACAAAAAAAAAAAGAGAAGAACGAAGTTTCAGTATGTTTATTCAATCATTCCTTGAGCTGACCGATGAACAATTTGCATATGTACGAGCATACTTGCACAATCATCATTTGTTCACAATGACACAGCAACAAAAAACAGTAGTCTTGAATGATATTCATTCATGATTACTTATCAGTTAATAGATTTCTTTTTTTTCTTCTTCTCTTTCAGATTTGTATCTGAATGTGTTCATTAGATAATGTTGATTTTTCATCGACAATATGTGACATTCTTATGGATTCTATTCTATCAAATAAATATCAATCAAACGTCTCACATTCGTCATCTTTCTCTATCAAATAATATTAATCATTTAACTTATTATTCTTCTTTAAAATGGCTTTATGTTGCTTCAATTGATTCGATATCAATTTATGATGATAATTTAACACTATTACAAAATATATCTATACAAAATTCTTATTTAAATGATTATGATATATGTAAAATAAATCCTTGTCAATGTTTAACTAATTTAACAAATAATAATAATAATAATGAAAGTGATGATATAGCAACAGAAAGATATCGTCGTTCAAAATTAAGTCAATCATTAAATTTACAAAATTCTATTGATCAAAATAATTATAATTTAATACTTTATCTTGAAACAAAAAATAAAATCGAAAATAAACCATATTTAATTGATTGTTGGTCATTACAAACAGGTTCATGTATTATTCGTAATGCATTAAATTTATCAAAAATTTATTATCAACAAATATCAACTAATGAAAAAATTCATACACAAAAATTTTTATTTAATACTGATTCAACAATACCAAATCATATATTTCCATTTCATTTTAAATTTAATAAATGTAATAATACACCAACTTATTTATTTTTAACATCAACATTGAGAAAAAATTTTATCGTATCCAATCAAAAAGAAAAATCTGATGATCTAACCGATCGTTTTTATGTTCAATGTCTTGAACAAGCACAACGACGTACAATTGCCTTACGAGCTTTTGTCTATGATGATGGCAAAAAAAAATTACAGAACTATGTAAACAAATCTATGATTACAACGATTAAACAACGTAATATTACTGTTGTTAAAGATTCGATTATGAAACAACAAAATGTTCATATTGAGAATTCTACAAATAAAACAAGGTCATCTTTAAATAACAATAAATCGAATTTAACATCAATTATAGAAATTTCTCGAATATCATCTACTAATCCTATGGTTTCTGATGATCATATAACGAATAAAACTAAGACATCATCTTTATTTAATTCTATTCATGAACAAAGTCCATTTTTAAATATTAATGATTATTGTTCAGAACAATTATCTGTTGTACGTTCAATATATACAGATTTTTTTGAACATGAATCATCAGATAAATTTCGACTATTTCAAGATATTATATATGATGAAAATAATTCATCTATATATTTATTTACTAATCAACAATATGTTAGTAAAATTATACGTTTATGTGAAGGACAAATATCATTTCGACATTATGTTGAATTACAAATAAATTGTGGAAATGAATATACACTTATACAAAAAGTTAAATTAATTAAATTGAAAAATAATAAACAATATATATTAACAATAGCATCAAAATCTAAAACATTAAATAGTCTTGAACCATCACAAAATAGTCATTCAGCAATATGTTTATATGAACTTGATCAAATAAGAAATGCATTTATTGATAATATACTTGATTTATCAAAAGGAAATGTTTCACTTGGTATGGCTTGGTTACATGGTGAATCAGTTATTGTAAGATTAAATTTATTTAATAAAATCAATAACATAAAAAAAAAAAACAACATACTATTACTATTCTTATTTAGCCACAATATCCAGCACCATATGGAAATTTAGCTCGATGTTCAACAATACGTGATGCAAGCTATTTAATGATTTATGAAGGATCATCGAATATTATTTCACAACCAATAATTAGTTTTTCATCTGATCAATTAACATCATTAGAAGCAACTCTAGTTAATGATTATATTGTTATTTTAGCTGGTACAGCAGATGGTAAAATTAAAAAGGTATTTTTTTATGCTTTAAATCTCGATTTATGAAAGGAAGCATATTATAACTATTTTTTAATTATGCTTAAGATTTTTATAGTCTTGTAATTCTTTATAAATACTCATGAGATAAACTTAAAAGAGAAGAAAATATTTGCAAAAAAAAAAACTTTTGTTTTTAATATTTTCTTTTTAGATTAGTGTTCAACCAACAACAAAGAAAGCTTTTCAATTTGAAGAATTATTTGTTCATTTTGGTGAATCTATTCTTCGTGATATGATATTAGATAAAAATAGTCGTTTTCTTTATGGAGCAACTAAAACTCGGGTAATTGTGTGAGTAATTGAGTATCGTTCTCTATTAATATTCTTCTGTAGTATCAAATAGTTTTTTTTTATTTATTTATTTGTTTTATTTACATTTGAAAAATTATTTTTATAGCTCTTTCAAGTGGATCTTCATGATTGTGATCGTTATAAAACATGTTTTTCATGTCTTTCATCACAAAATCCATATTGTGGTTGGGGTACAACACTCAATCGGTAAGTAGTTTTTTTATTCAATAATAAAATTTTAATCTTCTTCTTCTATAGTTGTACTGTACGTCGAAATGAAACAAATGATAAACGACGTTTTCGTTGGTTACAAATACATGAGAATTGTCCAAGTATTATCGAAATGAGACCAGCTTTTATATCAAAAGCAAAATCTAGCAAAGTAAAAAGGCAACATTTTTTTTTTTTTTATTATATTTTTGAATATTTTAGTTACATTTACATGTTGATAATGTACCTGATGATTCTACTTCAAAATATTTTTGTTCATTTGGTTTTACTTCACTTTTAACTGACACAGATGATAGTAATAATAATAATAATGATAAACCTATTTATATATCAAATGCAATTAAATATGAAAATTATATTATATGTTATTCACCACCATCTGAAACATTGATAAATATTAATCATGGTATTATAATTAATTTTTTTCTTTCTAATGATTTTATTTTTTTTTTGATGATTTAGATTCAATTATTATACGTCTATTTTATAATAATATTATTCTTACAGAAAAAAATGCTACATTCTATGATTGTTCATCATATTTAACGTAGGTGTTCTTCTTTTTTTTTTGATTCATAGAAATTTTTAGCAAAAAAATTTAATTTCAGATGTACATCATGTATGAATAATTCATTTGATTGTACATGGCAATTATTAACAGCAACATGTTTTGATAGTGATTTAATTACTGAGAAAAATGCAATCATAATAAATAATTCTTTAATTCATCAATGTCCACGTTATAATGTATCGACAAAAGAAATATTTATTTCTGATGGTGATTCATTTATTCTTGGTGAAAAAAATCGAGTTATTATTCAAATAATTGAATTAAAATATAATATTCAAAAATATTTTCGTTGTATATTAACATTTATAAATTCAAGTATAATTACAAGTATTGGAAAAATTAATAATGATTCTCTTATTTGTGATTTATTTCAAGTAAGAATTGAATATAAAATTATTTAAATAAATTTTGAAAACGATATTTTTTTTTTGTTTAGATTTCTTATGAAAATGATGTTGGTCAACAAAATTTATCATTTGAAATTGAATGGAAAGAATGTGAAAATGAATGTACATATAAAAAATTAGAAGCTCTAACAAATTTTACAGGTAATATATTACTATTAAATAATTTTTTTGGAAATTTATTTTTATATAGTCAACATATATAAATGTAAATATCTAGCTGATTCTTGTGGTTCATGTATATTACTTCATGATAATTATCATTGTATATGGTGTGAAACAGATAAATCATGTCATCATGAAATAAATTCAACAATATGTAAACCAAATCATATAATAAGTTCATCAATGGGTGTATGTCTTGATCCACGTCTTAGACAAATCTATCCTATCATAGGTCCACAATATGGTCGTACACCAATACAAATCTATGGTTCAAGTTTAGGTAAACAACCGCATGATATATCGGTTGTTCTTATAAATTCTAATCGAACGGAATATCAATGTCATATTCAAATTGAATCCTATATTGTTGCTCAATCATTTATATGTCAATTACCATCTTTACCAATTGGAGTGTATACAATTAAAGTTACTGTTCATTCAGTTGTTAGTAAAGATCGACCTATTTTTCATATTGTGGTTAGTATTGATTTTTGTTTTATTAATATTTTATATGAAAATAAATTTTTATTTTGAATTCTCTTTCTTTTTTTTTTGTAGAAACCAATTATTAATGATATTTATCCAAATTTAGGACCTCGATCTGGTGGTACTTTACTTTCAATAAAAGGAAAACATTTAACAATAGGAAGTAAAATAAATATATTTGTTGGTCATCAACCATGTTTGATTATTGAAAATGAAGAAATGTCTACTAGTAGTACAATATCAGATGATGAAAATAATTCATTAATGATTCCATGGATATCTCAATTAGAATTACCGAATGAAAATGAAGAAGAAATTATTCAATGTCGAACATCTAAATTAACAATTATAAATGAACATAATAAAAATCGACAGCAAAGATTTGTTAAACGACAAGCATTATGGATTGGTACAATAACAATTTTAATTGATAATTTTACTGAAACTTATTCAAATATTACTTATTCATATACAGAAGTAAGTACTAATTGAAATTAAAGAGTATAACAACATTCTATCCGTTTATGACATAAGTAAAAAACAAAAACTTGGTTCTACTCTAGACGAACTTCTTTTTGTCTATGCAGGAGATACTTGAGAATCTTGATCAAGAAAGTCATGCGGTATGGACAAATCTTGAGGCAAGACTTGAGACTAGACTTCTGCGTGACCACGATTTTTCAGTCACATCACCTCACGGTCACGTTCATGGTCACGGAGTTTTTTCGAGACTAGTCACGATCACGAGAGATCGTGACCATTTTGTAGAAGTCTACTTGAGACCTTTCGGCGAGCCCAAGCTCTTGAACTTCTTGTTCTATCGCTTGATATTCTTGCACATGCGCTTGAATTCTTATGCAAGCGTTTCTGTTATTCAAGAATTTTTTATATTTTTTTTGCAATTTTACGTTCAAAATACTCAAGTTTTAATAAAAATTCATAGGTGTATTTCCATGAAACACTCAAGCGTTTGTCTTGAGCAAGAAAGTCATGCGCTATGGACAAAACTTGAGGTCTGCACAGGTCAAGTGCATGAAAGAAAAGGTTCGCCTATGGTACATATCTCTCTATCCTTGACAGTTCGGATAATTTCAAAGAAACACTAACTCTGCATCTAAAATTTCGATTTATGATATGATATACTCTTACAATTTTTAATGCGGTGCGAAGCACAGCATTTATGTAGTCCGTCGCGAGTTTACTTTTTTTTTTTTTTTTCTTTTTCTTTTACTTTCTCGACGTACGCATATCAAATCGTTGTTTTGTGACGCGATGATCTCAAGAACAGAAAGTCGGAAAACTTTCGTTGAAACGCCAAGTGAAAGTACCGACACTGAATATGGAACATCTTTTTTCAAATCATGTTTGCGACGTTCGGTGCTCTCACAAATCGAGTTCCAAAAACACGATTTTGACAAAATTTTGCATTGAGATAATTAAAACGAAAACATAAACAAAAGTTAGGCGCCATTCATAATGTTGAAATACAAGACAGCTGACAATACAGCTGATTATAGACAATTAATCACCTATATTACGCATAAAATCTCGTCATTTTGTGACGCGATGATCTCGAGAACCAAAGATCACAAATTAATCGTTAAAACGAAAGGTGGTAGTATCATGATCGAACGCATGACATCTTTTTTCCAACCTTTCATGCAGTCTTTGGTTCGCACAAAAATACCGTTCCAAAAACACGATTTTGACAAAATTTTCCATTGAGATAATTAAAACGAAAAATGAAAGAGAAGTTAGGCGCCATTCTTTCTCTTTGAATATAAGACAGCTGTGATATAGCTGTTTATAGATAATGAATCATTTAGATAATTAAACGATCAATAAAAATCGTCCTTCAGAAAACTGTTCATAGGCTTTCATAGAGTTCTCTTCGCGATGAATTTTATTATGGTGCTTTTTGAAGTTTCTCGCTACTTATATCAGCTGACTCGTGGAAAAGTAATTTTTCGAATTCGAATGATACAGAGAAGTGTCTATGTTCGGTAGTCCGTCTACAAATCAACCAGAAATGGGGATTTCTATTAACTCGAAAGTCCAATTTTCGTTTTCTAGTTATTTGTTTTTTTCTTACTAGACGTATGCATGAAAAGTTCTCTTTTTCTGGTGCGATGATCTTGAGAATGGAAACTCACAAAAAGCTCGTTTCAACGCGATGTCAAAGTATTGAGATCGAACTGATACCTTTTTCATCGATATTGCTCTGAAGATGTTTCGTTTTCTTATAATCAGCATCCAAAAATGACGAATATGAAACTATTTATTTGCCTTACATTTTGGGATAATCAAAATCGAAAAAATAAAACAAAGTTAGTCGCCACTTACATTTGTCATTTGTCAAACAGCTGCCAATACAGCTGAGAGTATATAATGAATCATTGAGATAATTAGTCAATCAATAAACAACGATTTCTAGAAGTCTGTCGATACGCTTTAGTAGAGTTTCTCTAGTGATCAATTTTATAATGGATGCCTTTCAGGTCCGATCTATGTTACATCAGCTGTTCGATAAAACTATTCTTTTTATCGATTATATCTAACTCAGAAAAATCTTCAATTATCTCTGAACCTTGACGTAGAATGTGAGAACAAATTCTGATGACATTTAGAGAGATTATTCGATTTCGATTCGAAATTCGTTTTTCGAATTTTCGGCACGTGTGCTTCGCACCGCATTTCGTATTCGAGTCGAAACTCGAATACCATCTAGTTCTTTATTGAGTTCGAATTATATTGTGAAAATTTTTATTCATTATCTCTTTTGAAATAATAGGATCCACGTGTTCATAATTTAAGTCGATATTTGGGTATTCAAAGTGGTGGTTTACCATTTCTTGTTTATGGTACTAATTTTAATTCAATTCAAACACCACAATTCTTTATTGAATATAATAATAGTCAAGTACTTGTTGAGGTTTGTTCATTATTCATCTTTCTCTTTCTCTCTTGACTTTGATTTTTAAATAAAAAAAAAAACAACAAATTTTAGAATTGTTCAGTTAAAACTCCAGAAAGTATGCTTTGCTATGGTCCATCATTAAAATGGATAGAAAATGAAATAATGCTTAAAAGTACAACATCATCTTTTATTACGACAACTATTACTTCAACAACAACAATAATATCATCATCACCAATAACTCATATTTTACATGCTCGATCACATGATAAAAATCATTGTTTTGAATTTAAATTTGGTTTTTTTATGGATGATGTTGAATATGTTCGTAATACATCAACATATTATGAAACATTTTTACTTTGTCCTGATCCAATTATATATCCATTTAATAATGATGGAAAACGTATACAATATCGTTATGATTATTTAACAATAGAAGGTTTAAATTTACTTGATGTTGCAACAATAAATGATTATATTATAACTATTGGTTCATATCCATGTAATATAACATCAATATCAGATCAACAAATTGTTTGTCAACCAACAAATCGTACTATTGAAAAATTAATTAGAAAAAAACGAATTTTACTTGATATTAATACAAAATATAATGAACAAGCTATTGTTCGTGTAAGTATTGACAAAAACAAAAATAAATAAATAAAATTTCATGAATAAATATATTGAAATTTAATAGGTTACACTTGGTCGTCGAATTTATATATTAGGTACATTAATATATACATCAAATATTGAAAAACGATCATTAGTATTATATTATATAATTGCAAGTATTTGTGGATTTCTTTTAACAATGTTTATTATAATTGTATCAATTATTTTTCGTCGTATAAATACAAAACGTACTCGACAACTTAATCGTTTACAAAATCAAATTGATACACTTGAAATGCGTGTTGCTCGGGAATGCAAAGAAGGTTATTTTCTACCTTTTTTTTAATACAAAAAATAAAAAATAATATTTCTATGTATTATTATAGCATTTGCTGAACTTCAAACAGATATAGGAGAAATTACAAATGATTTATCACATTCCGGTGTACCATATCATGATTATCGTACATATTGTATGAAAATTTTATTTCCAAATGCTACTGATGAAGAAAAATATATGATGCTTCATAATATTGAAATACCGGTAAGAATAAATTTAGAAATTAACTAAAATATGTATTTAATTAAATAATATATTTCATAATGTATTTTTAAATCAACTATATTCATATGTATTTTTTTTGTAGTTAGAAGCTAATAGACGAAATAATGTTCGACAAGGTCTTCAACATTTATCTCAATTATTATATAATCATCATTTTCTTCTTCTTATGATTCGTACATTAGAAGCAGATAAAATTAATTTTCGTTTACAAGATCGTATGCAATTTGCATCTCTCATCAGTATTCTTCTTCAAGATAATATTGAATATTTGACTGAGTATGTTTTGAAAAATAATATTTTGTTTTTTGTTGTTTTCATATTTCATTATTAATATTTTATTTAGAATATTAAAAATATTATTAAAAGAATTAATTGAAAAATCATTACAACAAGATCGAAATAATAGTAAAATATTATTAAGAAGTAATGCATCTGTAGCTGAAAAGATACTTTCAAATTGGTTTGCTTTTCTTCTATTTGGTTATATTAAAGTAAAAAAAACAAAATTTAAAATCAAATCATAATTTTTTTTTTGATTTTATTGTATATTTCTATATTAAAAGGAACGTATTGGTTCTCCTTTGTATATATTATTTCAATCAATTAAACAACAGATTCATAAAGGTCCTATTGATTATTTTACAAATGAATCAAGATATTCATTAAGTGAAGATAAACTTCTTCGACAACATATAGATTATCAATCAATGGTAAAAAATATATATGACGAAAAATAAAACAACTATGATTTTTTTTTTCTTGTTATCAGATTGTTTATGTGATTCAAGTAGAAGATGATAAATCTCATCTTATTTCAACACCGGTGCCAATAAAAGTTCTTAGTTGTGATTCAATAACCCAGGTGAAAGAAAAAATAGTCGATCATTTTTATAAAAATATCCCTTTTTCCAAACGTCCATCAATTGAAGATTTTGATTTGGGTATGTAGTGATTTAAATCTTCAGTTTTTTTTTCTCCATTGCAGAAAATTATCAATAGAAGATGCTATCAAAAAACTTCTAGATATTAATCATCTTTTCAAGATTTTGATTTTCTCTTTTTACATTTTATGTTAATAATATTATAGAATAAAATTGCATAGAATTTAACTATTTCTAAAGGCATACTTTTCTATAGAATGGAGAATTGGTTCACATATGAAATTACTTCGTGATGATGAAAAAGTTGATAATCCTGATACAAATGGTTTTGTACAAGTACAAACATTAGCAACTTATAAAGTATAATAATCATATTAATAAAAACAACAATAAAATAAATAAAACGATATTTTAGGTTCATGATGGTGCTCGATTATTTCTTAATTTAAAACCTGGTATGAATCGTACAAATACATCATCATTTTCATCATTAATAAGTTCTCAAACAAATTCTGGTGGATTAACAAGCTGTTATACAACTAAGAATATATGTTATACACAAAAAACTGATGATGATCATAGATGGCAATTACTTCAAGGACATGGTAATAAAATTTATATATAAATATATACAGAATATCTCAAAAATCATGATCACTTAATACATACTTGCTTTTTACGAATCAAAACTTACTAGTCTCGTACTTGAAATAGAGAAGATATTTTTGATTAAGTTTGATCAATATTGAAGTTATCTGTATTTATGAAGTGATCATAATTTTAGGAATATTTTGCATATATTTAAAATAAAAAATTTTATGTAAAAATAGAAAATCAAATATTATTGAATTCAACAATAGATTTAATAAATTTACGAAAAGATCATCGATTAACAAATACAAATCAATTAGAACAATCATTTTCTAATTCTCGATCAGAACAAAATACACGTTTTTATCATTTAGTAATTCATATTTGTTATTTTATTTTTTTTTTTACTTTTGTATAAATAAAATTTCAATTCGTTTAGGTTAAATCAACTGATCGTGAAGATGATGATCGAACATTAATGACAAATAAACTTGTTTCAGAAGTTTATCTGACACGTTTATTAGCAACAAAAGGTTCATTACAACAATATATTGATAATTTTTTTGATACAATTTTTTGTCTTGTTGATTTACCATTACCAATTAAATATTTATTTGATTTTCTTGATGAACAAGCTGAATATTATCAAATATTTGATTCAAATATTATTCATACTTGGAAGAGTAACAGGTTTGAAAATTAAAAAATAAGAAAGAAAAAATTCTTTTCTATTTTTTTTTTTTTTTGTTCAATATTTTATTAGTTTACCATTAAGATTTTTTGTTAATATTATTAAAAATCCTGATTTTATATTTGATGTTGAAAAAACAAGTGTTATTGATGCATCTTTATCAGTTATTGCTCAAATGTTTATGGATAGTTGTGCTGCTGGTATTCATCAATTAACAAAAGATTCACCATCATCAAAACTTTTATTTTATCGTGATGTACAAAAATATAAAAAACTTGTTGAAAAGTTAGTTGAAAAACAAATTTTAATCTAAAGAATAATTTTTTAATTGATATACTTTTTAGATATTACGATGCTGTTTCTTCTCTTCCTACTGTATCTATTCATGATCTTGATCAACATGTGATATTGATTAAAGAACAAGAAAATCAAGTAAAATTAAAAAAGGAAACAATTTTTTTTGTTTTATTGATATCGAAATTTTATTTTTTAGAACTCATCAAATAGACGAACGAATGACTTTAATAGAACATATGCTTTATTTAAATTATATAATGAATTTATTAGTCGATATAAGACAAGTTTACGAATAGCAATAACAAATGATTTTCATGATAATCAGTATCGATTAGCAGCATTATTTGAACAGATTGTTACTTTTATGGACAGCTTTGAACTTGATATTTAATATGTTTGTTGTTTTGTATACAAAATTGCGTATTAATCCATGGATTAAAAATATGATCTCCGGAAAAATTATATCTGTTCTATAACGAACGGAAGGACTTTTAACGATATCTGATTATACGTTTAATTAAATGAACAGAAAAACTTTTTAACATGAAGTCCTCATTTCCTTAATGTCAGATTGTTATCAAAAGAAAATTGAATAATCTCGCTATCAAGTGAAGCAGAAGTGAGCAGCTTCGGCTTCAACTCGACTTCGGAATAAACTGCAAATTCAGCTCTGTACTAATATTTTTCTTGTCTCCTTTACAAGTCATAACAATTATTACTTATGCTCGGCACTAAGGTTTGGATGTGGGTGGAGCTCGGGTGGGTGTGGTTATTGGATAGCATAGATCACACCCACAGTCTCAATCTTTATTGTTAAAAAATAAAGTTTAATAAAACTGTTATATAAAATAAGGATAGATGAATTGTTTACTTTGAAAAATAAAGAATAAAGAAATGTTTATTTTTTTAATACGTAAATAGACAAATACTTAATATAGCAATAGGACATGTTAATAAATATTTTTTCTTATCACCAACATCACTTCGACAAATGATATTATTAAGAATCAAGCTGATATATAAAAAATATCTGCAACAGAGTTTTCTGTATATTTCATTTCCATCTATGATGCCATAACTTTTTGTGAAGTACTTAGTAGACACTAAAGCTTATGGTCTCATAGAAGAAAAAGTTTCTTTATTGTTTATTCTATCTTTATTTTAAAAATATGAAGATTTTACCGATCTTAAGTTCTTGAATAACAAAGATTTATTTTGTTTTATTTACATTTATTTTTCAAATATATAGAATTTCTTTATTTTTGTTTTAGAAAGATAAAGATTTTATTTATATTTATCATTTATTATAAAGAAAAGTAAAAATAAAGTAACATCCTCAAGTAGGTCAAAAAAAAGGGTAGAAGTTTAATTTGTCGGTATTTTGATTTACACGAGTTCGTACTAATCACTATCGCACTTCGAAGTATGGCATGTATCAAAGGTTAGTCTAGTGTTACACTTATCAGTATAGGGACATGAGGAGTTCACAAAGAAATTGAAGTTTTCAAATGAAAAATGCGTTTTACATGCATCGTGATTAAAGACGATTAAAAATTGAATAATCTAATTAGAATAGAAACACTTCAATCAAGTTTTAAACATGAAAAATTCGTTAAAATTAGATTTGTTTTTAGGTTTTAACACGAGTATTGTTCTCTAGTACGCAATTTTTTTTTGATTGCCAACTGGATTTGATTTTAACATTTTTTTAAACCCACATGAATAAAATTTCAATACTAAATTTGAAAGAGACCACATAATTTTTATCAATTTTTTAGATCTTGTAATAAGAAAATTTAATTTAGGAGTTCTGCCATGCTCTGCCTTGCCATAAGGGCAGAACAGAGCGAAAAAAAACATTTATGACTCATTTTCAGGGCGGGGCAGGACGTAAAAAAAGTGCAATGTGAGAGTCTCTGATTGCAATGAAAGCTTTACAAACGAATTTTAAAATTAGATACGTACAAAGAAAAATAACGATTTTTTTGTGGCTTGTATACATTAATATAACTTTGTTTATTGTGATTAGTGATTTTCTTGTTCTTCATCAGATTCTGATAAAACTCTTACACAACGATACTTTGGATTTTTCATTGTATCTATTTTTTCATTTAAAATTTTTATTTTTGTTGATTTTTGCTGATTGTTTGTCCATTGTTCTTTTTTGTTTGTTAATTTTTCTTTTCATCTCATGAATTAGCGCGTTTTCAGTGCAAAATTTGGAAAAGTTTTACAATATTTAGCAAATCGTAGTACTCGATTTAATGCAATTGTCAATACGCTACGTACATCATCATTCTAGACAGAAGAAAAGGTGTGGGTTTGTGAACAGAAGAATAAGACCCACACCCTAAAAGCTCCACTCATGCATCCCCCTCACACCCACATACATACCCACCCACACCCGCAGAATGAACTCACTCTCAACTTCACTCAAAAATTGACGCTGTACCTTGTTTATTCATGCATAAATCTCATGACTAATCGAATTAGTCGATAGAGAAAGTCTGAATTTGTTTTTTCATTAAAGAATTATTATCATTAACTTTCATTTTAAGAGAAGGGCTTATGTTTCATCTGCTGTTAATTTTATTGCATTTAATTTTTCATTTTCTTGTTATAATGCTAAAACCACACTAGTTAGTCCACCACCAATAATACTTATGGATGTACTCGGACTACCTGTTCTTATTATCTGAAATAAAAAAAATGATTAAAAACGATTTTTTCTAAATTAGTTAAACATTATCAGCATAGACGTCTACCTAATCCAAATCTTTAAAAATAAGTCTAAGATTATGACTAAATTTACATGAGTCTGTCTCTCCTCTAATATTTAATCCCAATTTACATGTTTCAAAATTCCAACTTGATGATGGAAAAGTTTAAGAGTATATTTACCACATTCATATACTGTAATCATCTGATTCATCATCATTCGACTGCAAACAAATAAAGACTTCATGCAAGTCCTCTAGCATTTTACCAGAGCCCTTTTTAGCCGTCGATATGACGTTGCCCACCCGACACTGCGTGGAAGTAAAGGGTTGGATTTTGTCGGACAATATTGATACAAAGGTTATCCAAGGCTATAATTTTGCAACTAACATTTGAATCCATGGAAACAAATAAAGAAATGCATCTATAGAGAATGGGTTTAATTTTGTATCTAATACATAAAATGATTGAAACAAATAAAGTAATGCTAATACTGTGTAGAGTTATAGATTGCAACTGATGTATAAGATCATTGAATGCAGAGAATTAACACCAATGTAATATAGGATTTGGATTTGTAATTAATGTATGAGATGTTTGAAAAAACCAAGTTGATGTTAATAGAATAGAGAAATCTACTTTGTAACAAATGTAAAAAATTGATTGAAAAATATAAGTTAATGCCAATATAATGTAAGACAGTTTACTTCCTATATACGATGATACTTGTTTAACATTGTTCTTCATGTTAAAAACCAGGAATTGATAATTATTGATTGTATGTTAAAGCCGTATATTAGTTATTCTTTTGCTAAGAAAAGCTTACGAGCGCTTATTTGTGTGATTAGATTGCATTCTTTCGGTAATAGGATTTGTGCTCAGCATAATTTCTCGATATGCAGCATTATTCATCGTGATGATTGTAACTTGATCATTTTCTAAACGATGTTGTAAATTCTGATTGATTCTTGGTACCGTAAGAACCAATGCAATAGGATTTTTTGGATTTCTCTTCAGTAGTTTTTCTGCTATGTATTCTTGACATGTCCGATTGTATTCCTTGTTTTCGCTGCTATTCTTATCATGCAAAGGTGTTCCTGAAATTATGTAAAATTTACTTTCAACTAGTTTCCAAGACTCATGGATGTTCTTCAATGATCCATGGTGTGGGAACTGAAATATTGTTAAGTGTTTTATTTCTAATACATTCATGGCATAATCGATTCCCTCACAGTGTTGGTCCCCAGTTAGTAAAACTGTTTTTTGATTGACGAAGATCGCAGCAATTAATGAATTCCGATTATTGTCGCGCTTATTTCGTTCTTTTGGATAGACAACTTGCAATCTTGCGTCGTAATCGATCTGGATTTCCAGTGGGTCATTACCGAATTTTTTCTCATGACCGATCACTTTAATATTTTTGTAGGGCAACTCATTTTCAGCAAGTGGAGAAACTATGAACAATTGTGGACGTGAACTCAGGTCATTTAAAAAATTAACTACTTCCGGCAGTCCATTAATATGATCCGTATCATTATGCGACACAATAAGGTAAACTTTTTCCAAAACACGTTTTTTCAAGGCATTGTCGACACATTCCTTAACGTTAGGAAAAGATGATTTGTAACCGAAATCATAAATAATGACGCAAGCATTTATGAAGATAACGAAGCAGTCTCCTTTACCGGCATCTATAACGTTGAAAGAAGCATAAGACAATCCAACAACGGGCTTCAAATGATGAGAATTATCCCGAAGTGCTGTGTAAAATTCTTTTCCGCCATTAGTAGAACGTTTCATTCTATCATTCAATACATTTTCCTGTCGATTGAACATAAAGTTGTCATTTGCACCAGTTGATGGATTTCGTTGTTGACTGGATATATTTCTATTATATGTATCCTTCAATAATCTTTCTTCTCTAGCTGATATTGATTTGTTTTCTGTATTATTAGATAAATGTTTTTGTTGGCCATACACACTACTATCATTTGTATCATTCAATGAATTTCGTTCTTCACCAGACAATAAATTGTTTTTTATATCATTGAATGTAATTTGTTGTTGACTGATTATAGTCGTTTTATTTGTATGATTCGATGATTTTTCTTTACCAGCTGCCGTTGAATCGTTTTCCGTATTATTGAATAAACTTTGTTGTTCGTCATGCATACTTTTATCATTTGCCTCGTTCAATAAATTTTGTTCTTGACTTGAGATTAAATTGTTATTTGTATCATGGAATAAATTTTGATATCGACTGATTATAATTGTTTTATTTTTACCATTCGGCAACTTTTCTTCTCCAGCTAATATCGAATTATGTTTTTCATTATTGAAAATATTTTCTTTTTCGTCATGCGTATTATTCTTAGTTGCGTCATGTAGTGAATTTGGTTCTTCACCTGGCGTCAGCTTGTTATTTGTACCAATCAATAACTTCTTTTCTCGAGGTAGAATGATATTGCGTTTTTTCTTATTGAATAAAATCTGTTTTTCGTCAAACATAGTATTATAATTTGCATCTTTCGTAGATTTTTGTTGTTCAGGTAGCAGGAGATTAGTGTCTGTATCATTGAGTGAATTTTGTTGTTCAGTACAATATATATAGTTTGTGGTAAGATCTAATGAATGCGAGTCTTCACCATACAGTTCACTTTGATTTGGAACTTCTGGTGAGTTCTTCTGTATACTGAATATTTTGGTTTTGCATTGAATATCGTATGAAGTTTTATTTTTTTCATTCTTGATCATTGTATCAGCAAAGCAGTCCATCTTGGTATTTATGACGTTCGATTGTTGTTACGTTATAAATTTGAGTATTTGTTTGCGCACGTATATGTGTAGAGAAGTTCGTAAATATTCAAAAGCAGATTGAATGAGTTGTTGCTTATTAGATGAGGCTTATATACCTTTTGCGTGTTTATTTCTGCTAGCGTCTGAATGCTTTTTTTCTTTTTCTTTTTCTTTTTCTTTCCTTCTCTCTTTCTCTATTCATCGGTATCGTATGTCAGCTTCGTGTTTGCATGAGTTGTCTAATTCGAATTCGAATAACATGGAGAGTTAACTGCTTATTAATGCTTCGAAAATAAATAGAAAAAACCACTCCTATGTTAAATTGGCAAAAAAAAACAAAAGATAATATTTTCACATGAATTACAATTTATAAATTCGAAGGCACGAACGTCAAAGTAGCAAAAAAAGCGAAAGGTGGATGTGGGTAAGAAGGAAATAATCTCCCATCTATATCGACCCACGCTCGTATATAATTTTTAAAACCCATTGAAAATATTTTAAAAAGTGTTTCCAAATCAAAGAATAAAGTAAATAATATTTAAAAAACTGATGTTATTGAAATGTTTGTTTTTGAATACGAAATTTTATTTCTACCTCAACTTTATGATAAAGTTCATGAGTTTTTTTTCTCAACTTTTTCATTATGTGTATCTTTGATAATTGCTGTAAAGGTTGTATTCGCGAGCACAATAATCATAACAATTGTTGAGAACGTTAGAGATCGGGTAATTTTAAACAAGAACTGCTGGTGCTACACCTTTCTTTTTATTTGCATCCATTGTTGACTAGTTTTAATGTATTATCATCAGCTTTTTAATAACCTATATGATAATTAAGTCTAAATTTAAATTTAAAGTAAATTTCTATTTACTTTTTTTGGCTTCAATCTCTGATGATATTCCTCTTGAACCTCAAATTTGTTGGAATTGAACACAAATTTCAGCGAATGTTTCAATAATAACGCCAATAAATACATTCTAAAAATAAGGCTTCATTTTTCTTTACAACAAATTATTGTTTCATAAAAATTTTCCTAGTACATCATATTTTTAATTTTTTAATTAAGTTAATAAAATTAACAGCAGTTCATGACATGAAACCGTCCAGAAAAACTTAATCAAAAAAAAGTTTTTCTTCATTGTAAGATTTGTTGATAACACCTATAAAATTTATTATGTGTATTTCTTAAATGTTCTAGTGAATTCTACATCCTTCCTTCTCTATTCATTCGAACTAAATTGTCATCAAACAACAACATTAACAACTAAATGCTTAGCTACTTCTTCCATAGAAAATAGTATCTAAACAAATTTGCTGAGTAATAAATCTACAAACAATTTCGATTTTTTTACAAAACTTTCTGGACAATGAAAATCAATTTTTGGTTGGCAAACAATATGTATCAAGTATCATTAAATTTGAGTTTCTCACGTTACTTAACAACACAAAAAAATTCAAATAAATCAAAATAAATAAAGAAAAAAAAATATTTTCTCATATTTTTAATCGGTACTGTCTCTAACACAACAAAATGTAAATGATTCAAAAAATTGCACACCTAATATGGCATATAAACTCATAAAGAATAGAAAAAAAACACAGTTACATTATAAATTTGTGAACTCGAACGTCTAAATTAAAAAAATCCATAGTTTACATAATTTACAACCGTTTTTTTTTATTAACATACTGAAGAATAGATTTAATCTGGCTATTAGGTAGTTCAAATTGAAGAAATATTTTAAGAACTTTTATAAGAATGAATGAACATGGCGAACGAATTAACGTCAAGCAGGCATATCCATTCATAATACCAATCTATTCGAACGTCAATGAATCAAAAGAAAAATTAAAAAATGTTTAAAAAAAAAATCCAATAAAAATATTTTACTTGTAAGGTAATAGAAAAATAGATGTTTCAAAACATAATCGCATCAAAATAATTCTATCGATCACGTAAATAAGATAATATACCAATTAATATTCCTCAAGTTTTCATTTTTGACAGCCGCTTCAATCGTTAATATAATTATACAAGTTATATCGATAATAACTTTTGTATATTGAAGACATGGATGATATTCAAATGTTTTTGGTGTATTCATACATGCTGAAATAAAACTTAAAAGACCAGTAAGATGAAATATATATTTAGCTATTGGTTAATTCGGTCCACCCGTTGAATCTTTTTGATTACAAACCATTGATGAAACAAAATCGCTATGGAAACTTTGCTTCTCATTAGTGTTATCATCAATGAAATAGCAGCATCAGTCGATGAGACTGCTTCTGCCATTCTATATTCTTCTTATTATATTTGTTGGCAAGTAAAAGACAAAAAGAAAAACAGCAAAACGAATGATATACGATCTAATATAGACAGACGGAGGATATAATTTGGCTTGTGATTTTCTATTATTCATTATTCAGAATTATATGCAGAAAGCGTTACACAAGTATGAAATAAACGAGAATCTCTCTTGAGTCAAGTAACACATATTGTCGTTGTCGTCTTTTGACAAGTATAGAAGATGATGATGGCATCGTTTTTGTTTTTCGTCTTCTTCTTTTCTTTTTACAACTAGATTCCAGTGACATCTATATTAATTGATCAATGACTGGTTAGATTACATTGGACGAATAAGTAAATTAGGAACGAAACAAACGAAAAATACATAAAGCATTTATATTTTGTGCACAGATCAATTCATATTTCATAAAATTACTATTATTGTGTCTTCCAGATCTCTATATATACATAGAGAATAAATAGCAAGAATGTGGTGTATAGCTGCAAATCGGTCAGTCCTGACAGCACTTGATCAAAATACGACACTTCCCGATCATGAAAGAAGTAATTGTACAGCAACAACAAATGATATTGATAAGATGGATATAATTCAATTTGCTGATGGTTGGTATTCTTATCCTGATCTTAATACATTTGACAGTGATTTACTTCTTGCTACACTTACACTTCGAGTAAGTACTTATATCAATATACATCTATGTGTACTATCAATCATCTTCTGTAGAATATCAAACCATTAAAAGCAATATCTCCATGGAATACTAAACTAGCAAATCCTACTGGACTACCTCTAACTGAGATCGGTATATGTTGAATGAATGATTCGTTTTTGTTTTTTATATTGTTAATATGCTTTTTATGTAGCAACACGTCAATTAGAAGCATTGTTCAATTTATCACAATTACTTTTTGGCTTAGCTCGAGCCGAACAAACAAATTATACATTTCGTGATTTACAATTAAGTCAACCAGCAAGACGATTTCGTGAAGCAGGATTTAATAAATTCCGTAAGAATTCTTCTCAACATTATTAACAAGCACATTAAAAATATGTGACCATATATTTAGCGAATAGTAATAAATCTATTGATTTCTTTGCTGTTTTTCAACTTCTTGTCAATGATATACTCAAATCAGGTGCTATTGACATTGTTTATATGATGTACAAAGTAATTTTTATATCTTAGACTAATTATCTTATTTAATACTTGTATATTATTCGTTGAAAGGATCCTCGTATTCGCTGTGTTAAACAAAAATCTCTTGATTTATTAACAAATGTAACAACAATAAATGAAGTTGGATATTTTATTCTTGATCGTTATACACATTTTCTTATTCAACTTATTCAAGGTATTCGTGATGGACATTTAATTGAAGAAAAAATTCCATCATTATCTGTTCTTATACGTTTATGTAAAGTTATTGTTGAAAAAAATCTTCTTAGTTATTATCAACATTTAATTGATATGCAATTTATTGATATATTAATTGATCTTTTTGAATATCAACAATATAAATCCAATGATTCTATTGTTTATTTTATTAAATTTGAATCACTTGCACTTCAATGTCTATATATCACGTTACAATGTGCTGAACATGTTGATATGTGGTCAGAAAGTATGTCTAAAACAATAAAGAATTCGTATCTTGTTAATCATGGTTTTCTTTTTTTTTGATGATAGAAGCTCAAATTCAACTAGTGAATTATTGTTGTACACTTTTATACAAATCAATATTGGATGATGATAAAGATGATAGTTCACGACAAATAGAAATCAATCATATAATTTATGCTGAACAACATGGTATAATTCATTCATTATGTTATAGTATATTAACATTTTTAAGTATTGTTCGATGTCGAAAAGAAATTGGAAGATTTTATCGTGAAAATGAACATTTTCGAGAATTACTTAATGCTATGAGACATAAATATAATTCTCAAAATGAATATTCATCTCGTAATTCATCAATTTCCTGTGCACTTAATCAACTTGTGAATAGTATGTTTGATCGACAGGAACGAAAAAAACGTAGACATTATCATCAATTAATTACGAAAGATTATCCACGTCATCAAAATCAAGATGAAAATCGACAATATCGAAAATGTTCAAATTCTTTATGTCAAATGATTGAAAATGATGTAAATAATTCTTTTGTTTTTTATTGATAAATTCAGATAAAAACATACTATAATTTTGTGTTTTTTGCAGCTTATAAAATTTGAAGATTGTCCTTATTGTCATAAATTATCATATTGTAGTCAATACTGTCAAGAAGTTCATTGGACATTAAATCATCATTTATCGTGTCGATCTGTTAATTCTGATAGAAAGAAAGCAGAATCAACTGTACTGGTACTTTTACACGACATGCAAGGCTTATCGATTGAAATAAACAGAACAAATACAACTTATGATAATAACAGCAAAGGAAAAAATGCAATTGGCACATTACGTAAACTATTAAACACGAGAAACGCTTAGAATGGCATTATTAAATGAAAGAGAAGACATATGTACTGATTGTTTTTGTTGTTCAATCAAATTAAATTAATAAAAAAACGCTTTATGAAATAATAATTAGTTTGATAGATAAAATTGTTTCTGTCGGCATAGAAAAAAATAACTCAACCCAGAAAAAAATATCGTAAATCATCAGGTCTTATTCGCCTCTTCTCGCCATTGACAATTTTACTAATTGGGACTCGAGCGAGTTGGTACCAGAGATGCTCATAGGTTCGGGGCCCAAAGGGTGATAACCTTACTTACCGTATAGTCTAAATGCGATTCTCAAAATACATGAAAAGACTTGAAAATATAGACGAGGAAATTGTAGAAATTTTCTTACTGTTCCATTAATTAGTAGTGCGATTTGTCCAAACGTAACGCTGTTACGTTTTTGACACAGTTTTTTTTCCAGTTATCTCAGAAACTGAGACAGCTAGAAAGCTTGTTCAAACGCTATTCAATGCAGCTTATCCTGATCTATTTATGATATAAAAATGAATGTTTTTGTTTGGAGTCTCGAACTTTCAGAAAGCTTTTTTAGTAGCGTAACACTTACATAAAAAGACTGTTTTTCTTCAGTGTCGTCAATGAATCTCTCATTTTTTGAGAAGGTATTTCTTCAAATGAAATGCTTATAGAGTCAGTTTTTAAAGTATCGAATGGACTTTCAAGCAGTAAAAAAGATTTTTTCTAAACTATTTTTGCTCAGATGAAAAATGTAAAAAACAAACGTAGCGCTGTTACACTGTTTTTTGTTAACTAAATTTGAGGCAGTTAACATACTCAGAAATATTTAATTTTTATACATATTGATCACTGCTGTACATATATTGTTCTATGCAAGAATCAAGTTGCTATTTCGAAACTGGAACTCATTAACTGTAGAGTATGTTGAAAACTGTAGAAGAGCTTAGAAATTACCCTTATGGATGAGAGTAAAAACCAAATAGACCGTTTTGTAGAGAATCGAGTTCTGCATCGGATGGTATGTCACTAAACAGTTTTTCAAAAAATCTCTTGGTTGAGAAATTCAAAATACAATTTTTGAAAATTTTAAAACTCAGTTCTCGATACCAAAACCGAACTTTTTAAAAGAGAAAATGGTAAAATCATAATCAGCGCAAATAACTGTATCTGAAAATGCTTTTATATTTGTCCGTTTTGAAAAAACATTTTTGAAAAACTTGATCAGAGAAGTGTCAAGTTATGTGGACAAGCCGAGTGTCACTGTTTGATATTGACATTTGACAGTATGTATCAGTATTTTTGAATGGAAAATGCTGTACCACGTATTTGTGATGAAATTAAAACTATTGATCATTTTCTACCACCTGCGCTAATTAAAGTAGTAACACAAATGCAAATAAAAAAACGTCAGTTGTTTTAATAATATAATGTGATTATACATTTGATTCTGCTGAAAAATGTCATGATGATGATGAATCATTTAGAGATAACTCAATCAATAAAATTGCTGATGAGTTTGACCCATATTTATTTCTAGTTTAAAACTTAAATGAAAAAAAGAACAATGAAAATCGGTTGTCTTAGTAAAACGAGCATAAATCAAAATTATCCGAATTAGGATCATTAAACTATCGTTCGTTTTCTTCGATAGTAAGATCTGTGAGTGTTGAAACATTTTTCAGTGTTATTTTCATTTATTTTGAACAAAGAAATCGCGTATCTGGTATGGTATTCAAATAGATAATGTATTAGTTGTTCGTGCAACAAAAAAATGCAGGCATAAACAAAGTGAAATAATATTATTGTGATTCTACTAAAGCAAGCAAGTAGAGGTTTCTTTTTTTATCATAAATACTTATCTCTAGACATATCTTACTCTAGTAAATATGTAAAACTGATTTCAAAATGATTGAAAATGACTGTATTTAATAAAAACGACTTATTTCTTTTAATTTTGGAATATGATAAATGTTTTGTTATGAGATTTCGTTTTATAACCTTTTCTTCCTTGTTTTTTTGATTGTATATTTGTAAATAGTATTTATTATACGATTTGGTGGGTACTGCTTTTATTTTTTGGAAAAATGTATAAACTTTTCTTTGCGTACCCCATGGACAGGAGTGAACTAAATTTCATAAACTTCACTTCCCCATCAGTGGAGAAAACGGTTACACAGAAAACTGATAGAAGGTGCATCCTAACCATGGGGCTAAGAAAAACATCACATTAGCATCTTTAGTAGGTACGTAGTATAGAAGATCTCCAACGGTAACCGTTCTACTGGTAACTGACCCATACCAGTATAAGCCAGCATATACCGGTATAAGGCTTATACCGACTAATACGGCTTAGAGTGGTCACACATGTCAAACTTCAATCTTGGATTCAATTATTAAAAAGTTGTTTCAAGTGTTCAATTATTCATTTAAGAGCAAGGACTGAGTGAATAGACCACATACATTAATGCACATAAATATCACGGCACCCGGTGTGCTCAAATGAATAATTGAATACTTGAAACAACTTTGTAATAATTAACTTCAAGTTGGGCACTACTACCGAAAACATGTGAATGTGTGCAAAGATAAAGAAAAAAGTAGCTTTAGACTCCTATAAGAGAATTCATGTAGAGGAAAAAATTCAGTGGTCGGCCTTTTGAAGATTTAATTCCACATATAAGGCTCTGGTATCCTCTCATCTAGTCGTATCTTCTGCTCTCTACTTATTCTCTTAAAGCTTAGTGTAGTCTTGTCATCTTTTTCTTAAATAAATATTTTTTTCTCTCTGTTCATTTACACCATCTAACTCTATTTTATCTGTAATGGTTTAAATGATACACCAATTGAATTGTTTTTCTTTCCTGTTATTATCATAAGTTGTATATGTTCTGTTCATTTCCATCATCAATAAGCGGTGAATATTGTGTGCAAGTACTACTGTACTTTGTAAAATAGATGGAGTTTCTGAAATAACACCACTCGAGTACCAAGACAAAAAGACAACATCGATGAATTATACCTCGGCATTCGAAACATTACCAGTACAAACAATGGTGACACGAAGTGATCAACATTGGAGGGAGGATGTCGCGATTTTTTACGAAAGAAAAACATCCTTTTTCTAACAGAATGCAAAATCATTTTCAGCTTTGCTGGGAAAAGCATGAAAATTTTTCACGATTGCAGATGTGCACATTTCTGACTTCCTCCTTCCGTCGTACCATCACGGAGTACAAATACCGCATCCAGTCATCGAAGCAACAGCCGAAATTACTAATGACTTGTGTTATCCATTATCGTCACCATTATCTTCGAATGACAAAAAGAAGTCGTTAAAAACTTTCTTATCACTTCTTCGTATTAGTAGAAAACGACGTTAAAAACAAAAGTAAAGAATACTAATTGTTATTTTTAGTAATCTCTTTGTACAATTTAATTTATTTTTACATGAAATATTGTATCTATTTAACCATTGTAAAATAGAAATTGTCTTTTTTCAAAATAAAAGAAAAACCATATGTGAATTCACTTTCATGATGATGTACGGATCAACAAAAAATACCGATGACACATAACATTGTAGATAGGACAGGAACAGTTATTTACTATAGTTTATTCTGACAGAATGATCTTATAGTGATTGCTCGTAGACAATTGTCGTGGAAAGTGAGGCGAAAATTCTTCCGAAATTGAATAACCTAGAAAATATGTAAGTTAGAGACGATTAAGGTAAGAGCTAAAAGGAAAAACATGTAATGATACAGGGTGTCTCATAAGTTGTGGCAGATTTTTTTAAATCTAATTTTTGATGATAATGAATACAAATTAAACTCAAACTTATACATATGACACGGCTTAGCATGTACTTTTATTTCATATATTTTATTTGGATTAGATCATTGAATATACAAGAAAATAAACAAATTCAATGAACATACCCTCCATTGACAAATATCAAAAGTCTGCATTTTTTCGCTACTTTGTTAGTTTTTTCTCCAATTACTATTCCTATGGGAGTAAGTTTTTACAAAAGAAATCACACATTCTGATAGCACTTGAAATGCTCTATGATATTATGTATTAATACAGTGTCTTAAATTTAAGTAGCGAAAAAAAATGCAAATTTTTTGGGCTAGTCGATTCGGAGTATATTCATTGTATTCAATTTTATTTCAATCTATAAACGCAAGAAAATAAGTAAATAGACAGGGTGATAGAGAATTTTAAGCTCTATCAGAATCTATAGTTACTTTTTCATACAGATCATTCTATACGGATGAAAAATTTTTAAAACTAGTTTTGATGACGAAGGAAAGATCAAGTCTGGGAATCTGGACATGAGGGTGCCTTCGTTGTCTTCAATTTATTTTGGTAATGAAAAGGTCAAAACTAAAACCTAATTCTACAGAATGATAGAAAACTCCGCGAGCTTTCAGAATATGTAATTAGTTTTAAAATAACTTATTTTTATAGTGACAATATATGAGAAATACAGAGTGAAACTTTTGTCGGGGTATATATATTGTAACACATTGATGGTGTGCTTATTTTGCACATGTACCAATTTCTTTATTTTTTTGTATATCCAATGATTAAATTCAAATAAAATATATGAAATAAAAGTACATGTTAAGTTGTATGATACGTGTAAGTTTGAGTTTGATTTGTATTCATTATCATCAAAAATTAGATTTAAAAAAAATCTGCCACAACTTATGAGACACCCTGTATTGATATTTTCAAGCGATAAACAGCACAGCCGGATGTAAAAAACAAAGAGTAAGGTGAAACGTTGATCGTATTTGTAATTACTTACGAAATTGATGACCTTCATACATTCAGAAGACTCAAGTCCTCGCACCAAGTAATGGGCTGCAAAAAATTCTAGGAAACTTAAATGAACGAAATAATGTTGTTTGTCTGCGTCTCTTTCAGAGACGGTGAGCTTTAAGTCATGTGACGTCAGAATACCCACGTTGAATATATGTGCATGCGTATCCGAAGAGCAG